AGAGACACGCTCGAAGAACATACATGCCTGACAGGAGTTCAGACTGCTGGCCGGCCCGGAGAAGGGGAGTTGCAGGAGACAGGTGGACAACAGAGGCCCTAGAGCACTCTCATGAAAGTATCTCAGATTTAAAACCTTTCCAGAGTTTGTACAGGGGCCTTCAAGTCATCTGCAATGCCTGTCAGCTCCCCTTCGTGAGGCGCAGCTGTAATGCTAGAAGGATTCCCGGGATGCCAGGGAAGACTCCAAAAATGATCAGACAGAATTGTCTCACGTAGCTCTGTGGTCTTTACAGTGACTGGAATTTGACCACGTTCCCCTTCCCTCCCCACCCCCCCGAGAACTTTGATATTTTGCAGAATAATTAATATTATGAAAAGTTTCACCCACACAGAGATTATAAAAATTAATGTTATGAAAAGTTTCACCTGGGGACACCTGGGTGGCTTAGTTGGTTGAGCATCTGACTTCGGCTCAGGTCATGATGTCACAGTTCATGAGTTCAAGCCCTGCGTCAGGCTCACTGCTGTCGGCACAGAGCCCCGCTTTGGATCCTCTGTCTCTGTCTTTGTCTCTCTCTCTCTCTCTCTCTGCCCCTCCCCCCTCTCAAAAAATAAATAAACAGCAAAAAAAAAAAAAAAAAAAAAAAAAAAACAAAGAAAGAAAGAAAAGTTTCACCTGAACATAGATTGTAGTGATGGTTGGACAACTCTGTGAACACAGAGTTGACCCTCGAACAATTGGGGAGTTAGGGGCACCAACACTCCACACAGTCAAAAATCTCCAGATAACTTTTGACTCCCCCCAAACCCAGCTACTAATAACCTACTGTTGATCGGAAGTCTCACCAATAAGCAGTAACACATATTTTGTATGCTCTATGGAGTCTATACTGTGTTCTTACAATAAAGTGAGCTAGGGAAAAGAAAACATTATGAAGAAAAGCATAAGGAAGAGAAAAAGATATTCACAGTACAGTACTGAAGTTATCAAAAAAAGTCCACCCGAGCACTTCAAACCTGTGTTGTTCAATGATCAACTGTACTGAAAACCACTGAACTGTACAATTGAAATGGGAGAATATTAAGGTATGTGACTTATATCTGAATGGAACTGTTCAAAATTTTATAGTATTTCCATTAGAAGGTAACTATTCGGTTGTTTTTTTTTAATGAGCAAGGTGACAAAAGTACATCATCTGCCCAGATGTGTTGAGGTCTGAAGTGTAGGGTAAAGTGTGAACCCCTGTGACCCAAACGCTCAGCAGCCCTGTGGGGACAGGCACCTTCGCTGGGGAGGTGCCCCGACTATACACAAGGCCTTACACTCAACGCCTCTCACCTGATCTAGTGTCAGCCAGGAAGACAAAAATAGCTGACCACCAAAATTACCCTTAGCCATTTTAAAAAGAAAGCATCTGTAACTGCTCAGAAAGCACAGTGTTCGTGTTTTTTATAGAGAAATTCTGGGAGCACGTGGGTGGCTTAGTCAGTTAAGCGTCCGACTTTGGCTCAGGTCATGATCTTGCAATTCATGGGTTGGACACCCGCATTGGGCTCTGTGCTGACAGCTTGGAGCCTGGAGCCTGCTTTGCATTCTGTGTCTCTTCCTCTCTCTGCCCCTACCCCACTGTGCTCTGTCTCTCTCTCTCTCAAAAATAAATAATAAAAGAAATTATATAGAAATTCTGCACTTTAATACTTGTGTGCAAATATATACTGTGTATGGTAACACACAGGACGTAAGAATTAAAAATAGCATTAAAAATTTTTTTTAATGTTCATTTATTTTTGAAGGAAAGAGAGACAGAGCGTGAACAGGGGAGGGGCAGAGAGAGAGGGAGACACGGAATCTGAAGCAGGCTCCAGGCTCTGAGCTGTCAGCACAGAGCCCGACGCGGGGCTCGAACTCCCGAACCATGAGATCACAACCTGAGCTGAAGTCAGATGCTTAACCAACTGAGCCAGCCAGGTGCCCCTCAAATTACCATTTTTAGCACCTCTGAATTTCATCGCCTCTCTTTTGTCTACATCTAGAAGAATGAATTTTAGCAAATTAAATGTTCATATAATGTGACCCTACTCACTGCTTAGGGATGCAACATTCCTTTAATGGACATTTTGTCATTCATTCAGATACACTATACTGATTTGAACCTAATCTTCTTAATGACTGGAGATATTACGGGAGGTTCTGTGTATAATTGTGGTCAGCCCTCAGGCAGGTTGTCCTCTCTGTGGTTCATCTTTGGCATTTTCCCCCTTCCCCCCCCCCCCAGTTTTATTGAGATATAATTGACATGTAACACTGTAAAAGTTTTAGGTGTACTCAATGCTTTGCTATATGTATATATTGTGAAATGATCACCACAGTAAGGTTAAACAACCATCACTTCACACAGTTAACATTTTCTCCTCCTGATGAGAACTTTTTTTTTTAAGTTTATTTATTTATATTTGAGAGAGAGAGAGAGCACGGAAGGGGCAGAGAGGGAGAGAGGAAATCCCAAGCAGGCTCCACGCTGTCAGCACAGAGCCCCATGCGGGGCTCAAACTCATGAACCGTGAGATCATGACCTGAGCCCAAGTCGGACACTTAACCAACACTGAGCTACCTAGATGCCCCCCTCCTGATGAGAACTTTAAGGAGCTACTCTCTTTGCATCTTTCAAATGTACAATACAGTATTGTTAACTATAGTCAGCATGTTGTACATTACATCTTCAGGACTTACTTATCTTATAACTGGAAGTTTATACCTTTTGACCATCTTTGCCTAATTCTCCCATCTCCTACTCCTCCACCTCTGGCAGCCACCAATCTGATCTCTGTATCAATGAGTTTGGTTTTTTTCAGATTCCACATATGAGATCATACAGTATTTGTCTTTCTTCTGTCTGATTTATTTCATGCAGCATAATGCCCTCAAGTGCCATCCATGTTGTTGCAAATGGCAGGATTTTCTTCTTTTTTATGGCCAAATGATATTCCATTGTAAATATTTATCCATCCATCTGTGGATGGACACTTGGGTTGTTTCTACGTGTTGGTTATTGTAAATAATGCTGCAATGAACGTGGGGGTGCAGATATCTGGCAAATTTTTAATTTTGGTCAGACCTTTCCAGCATCCCAGAAAAACAGTAGGAAAATTAAAAAATCAAATCATTGGGTGCCTGAGTGACTCAGTCAGTTAAGCGTCCAACTTTAGCTCAGGTCATGATGTCACGGTTCGTGAGTTTGAGCCCCGCGTCCGGGCTCTGTGATGAAAGCTCATAGCCTGGAGCCTATTTCAGTTTCTTTGTCTCCCTCGCCCTCTGTCCCTCCCCTGCTTGTGCTCTGTCTCTCTCAAAAATAAACATTAAAAAAAATTTTTTAAATCAAATCATTAAAATTTGGAAAATAAACCTTTTAACTCCATTCATCCCTGAGGAAGCCCTGCCTGGTGGTTAGGAGCATTTAAGTCCTAAGGTCAGGTCTCCTTGGTTCCCAGTCACAGCCTCCCAAGCTTCTGTTCTAGAAAGTAAAGGGAGGTAATGGTAGATACAGCCTCTGAACTTTGATTGACACCTCTGAGCTTTGACTGACAACTGTATGGGAATGGTTGGCCCAGTGCCTGGCACATAGTGAGTTCTCAATAAGATGAGTTACTATGGGGTACCCTGGGTGGCTCACTTGGTTAAGCGTCTGACTCTTGGTTTTGGCTCAGGTCATGATCTCACAGTTCATGGGTTCGAGCCCCATGTCGGGCTCTATGGTGATAGTGCAAAGCCTGCTTAGGATCTCTCTCTCTCTCTCTCTCTCTCTCTCTCTCTCTCTCTCTCCTACCTCCCCATCTCACTCTCTCTGTCTCTCTCAAAATAAATAAACTTAAAAAAAAAGATGAGTTATAAATATTCCTGAAGGCTAGTATTGTTCATGATCCATACTCTTGCTTCCCTGATTAATGCAGATTTACAGTCGTTCTATTCCACATGCATTTATTGAATAAGGACGGTATGCCAAGACACAGTGAGAAATGAAAAAATAGAAGTGCCAGCCTGTGTCCTTGTCGGCGGATGTAGATGTCTCAGGATGCAAGAACACTGGGGTGGCCCCAAACCGGGGAGGCTGGGGCCTGAACAAGCCTGCTGGGGGGGGGGGGGGGGCGGGGTCAGAGCTGAGCTTTGAGGACGGCAGGTTTTCCCAAGTGGAGCAGGGAGGACAGAAGGACAGAGGGAAATCAGGGTAGGGAACTCGCAGGGCAGGACAGAGACAGACCAAGGGTCCATAGTCTTAGGGAGGGAGTGGAGCAGCTTAGAGAGAGCCAGCGTGATGGCTGTTACTTCCTATTTGGGAAAATGTTATTTCGAAATACAAATATGGAGAATAAAGCCAAATAAAATCTTGGAGTGCAGGCCTCCCTTGAAGGTAGGGATTCTCCAGGGGCCAAGAGATGATTTTGGTTTTGCTGTTGCGAAAGTAGCATTTATTGATGCTAAAGTCCAGGCAACAGGGCTGAGCAGGAAGGAGTAAAGGCCTCAGCCCTTGTCTTCACCTGCTGCAGCCTCCTTCACCTGCTGTGACCTCCTTAGGACCCTTCCCGGGCATATTCTGTGCAAATCAAGGAATCCACATGGGTTGGGACCTCGAGATGTCCCTAGGTGGTTGGGTGGTTTGGCCGATCTTTGCTGTTATAAATGTTGCCATGGTGAAAGCCAGGTCACGTGACTGCGTCCATAGGAGAAATTCTCTGCGGTGAAATCCCAAGGCCAAGGCCTACGCATTCGTTCTTCACATGCTACGCGAGACTTCTCGTCCCTGGCTGGGCTGCTTGCTGGGGCTGTCCTTTCGGAAGCAGAGGGGAGCACACCGTTCTTCGGCTATGTCAGGGGAAGGCCACGCATGCAGCCAGGAAGGCCTCCCGGGATGTCAGCTGGGTGGGAGTCCCCAGAAGCATTTTTTTTCCCCTCAACACCAACTGAGTGATTTACAAACATGTTGGTTCCCCCTCTGTCAACAGGAATCTTCGCCTACATGAACTACAGAGTCCCCCGGACGAGGAAGGAGATTTTTGAAACCCTCATCAAGGGCCTGCAGAGGCTTGAGTACAGAGGCTATGACTCGGCAGGTAGGCCCCTCAGACTGCCCTCATAGATACAACGCTTGTTCCTGTCACTTGAGAACTAGAGAAAAGGAGGGGCGCCTGGGTGGCTCAGTGGGTTAAGTGCCCAACTTTGGCTCAGGTCATGATCTCATGGTTGGTGAGTTCAAACCCCACGTTGGGCTCTGTGCTGACAGCTCGGAGCCTGGAACCTGCTTTGAATTCTGTCTCCCTCTCTTTCTGCCCTTCCCCCACTCATGCTCCATTTCTGTCTGCCAAAAATACATAAAAAAAATTAAAAGTTTTTTTTATTTTTTTTTTCAACGTTTATTTATTTTTGGGACAGAGAGAGACAGAGCATGAACAGGGGAGGGGCAGAGAGAGAGGGAGACACAGAATCGGAAACAGGCTCCAGGCTCTGAGCCATCAGCCCAGAGCCCGACGCAGGGCTCGAACTCACGGACCGCGAGATCGTGACCTGGCTGAAGTCGGACGCTTAACCGACTGCGCCACCCAGGCGCCCCTAAAAGTTTTTTTTTAAAAAATAAACTAGAGAACAGGAGAAAGAAGAAATAACGGTAAAAAAAAAAAAAAATCTCTACCAAAGCTCTCCCATCAATATCTTCGTGTCCCTCCGCTGGTCACTGCTGTGCGTATGTTGAGGTGGTATGGGGATGTGGGGGTGTCACACGTAGCTACTTTTTGTTTTTAACCTGATCGTAACTATAGAATTGTAATTTTATGTCCTGTTTTCATTTATCTCCCGCATCTCCCATTATCCTAAACTCTTCCTAAGGATCTTGCTCAGTGGCTGTACAATCCTCCCCTGGGTGACTATCTCAGAGTTTACCTCTTCATCCATCTGACTGGTGGATACTTAGTCCACTTCCCATTTTTAATTAAGCAGCCTTAGGAGAAAGGGGGAGCCAGATACTTTCATATCCCCGTGAATTCTTTTCTTTTTTTTTTTTTTTTTTTTTTTGTATAGTTTATCTGGAGAGAGACAGAAACAGCACGAGTGGGGGAGGGGCAGAGAGAGAGGGAGACAGAATCCAGAGCAGGTTCCACCCTGTCAGCACAGAGCCCTGCTCAGGGTTGGAACTCACTAACTGAGAGATCACGACCTGAGTCAAAACCAAGAGTCAGATGCTTAACCGACTGAACCACCCAGGCTCCGCTCCCTGTTCATTCTTAACGGAAAGCATGTCAGATGAAGGATCTTAGGAACACTAATGCAGTAGGGATGTCAGCACAGGGCATGGCACCATCAGTGCCCTCAAGCGAGCCCGCCACCTTCAGTGGTGGGCGTGGAGGAACCTCCTTCACAGGCAGGCTCCCTGGGATGCATCCTGGTTCAAAGCCAGGTGAGGCGGCCACAGCCCAGGTCCCAGGTGCGCCTCCCCTGTTTGCTGCTACATCATAATCTTGCTGAATTGACATCCTGAACACTGTGTAGTTCTCTTCCAGGCTGCAAGCCTGGCCAACGGGAACGGACAAATCCACAGCACTGTGCAGCCCTCACCCTAGGTTGTACTCTGTAACAAAGTACAGGAGACCAAACAAATCCCAATGCAAAAAAAAAGGAAAAAAAAATCATGTGTGTCCCACAGGTGTGGCAATCGATGGAAATAATAACGAAGTCAAAGAAAGACATATCCAGCTGGTCAAGAAAAGAGGAAATGTCAAGGCTCTTGATGAAGAACTTTACAGTAAGTGGGACACATGCCCAGTCAAAGCAGCATGGGTCAGTTTAAAGTCTTTTATTCCAATAGCATTCGAGACTAAAAATATTCACTTATCCAAGCATGGATAAATAGAAGGAGAGTTAAGCCTACATCATAAAACTGTGTTTCTCAGAGTGTGGGATTTGTTTTTGTTTTTGTTTTGTTTGGGGGGGGTTGGTTGTCTGGGGTTTTTTGTTTTTCTAGGAGGTGGTGCATGAGAATTTTTTTAATATTTAGTACGTATGTATTTATTTTAATTTTTCTGGCAAATGATACTATTTTTCCATTTATGGTTATGATCTATAATATTCTTTTTAAAGTAAGCTCATTTTGGCTGGTGACTTAGGTTACTGATAAGCACTAAGTAAACTACAGCAGGGATCTGGCAGAAATCCCCAGGGTGGGGCCTTTGCAGTCCAAGGTGGGATGTGCTTTTGACGTGGCTGAGGTGTGTCCATGTTGATGCCACCTCACCATAACAGTACTGTGTCAATGATTATTTTTCTTGCTTCTAGAACAAGACAGCATGGACTTGAAGGTGGAGTTTGAGACCCACTTTGGCATTGCCCACACGCGCTGGGCTACCCATGGGGTCCCCAATGCTGTCAACAGCCATCCACAGCGCTCAGACAAAGGCAACGGTATGTAGCGTGGCCCTGCGTCCCCTTCCTGAAGGTTCTGCCTGGCTTTGACCTGTACCACTGTGGATCCACACCCACTGCCAACTGGCATGCTTCTCTCCCTGCCTCATCTTCCCCGAGGATCCAAACAGATAGCACTGGGCCTTAGACAGGAGGCAAACTCAGCCTGGCTCCTGGGCAGGGCTGACCCCCACCCAGGCCTCTACAGGAAAACAGTGGCGACTTCCCATGACTGCTCCCAGCTTCTGAGACCCAGCCTGAGTGCGACTTGGCAGCATGAGAGGTCTAAGAGTCGGGCACTGTTCCGCAAGGGACTGTGTTGTTCTGGAGGGCTGGGTGCCCGAGGGAGGGATGGGTTTCATTTCCCCAGAGGAGAGTGGTCTTGAGCCAGGGCAGTGCTGATCTTGGTTAATGTCTGAAGTTCCTGCTCCAATCCTGGGCCCTGCCATGAGGCCTCAGCTGCCAAAGGCTTGAGGTTTGGAGAAGCAGAGACTGTAGCAGGCAGCCCAGGGCCTCCCTCCAAGCAGCAGAGCCCTCTGCTTGGCTTGCATCATGTTTTTTAAATATGAGAATTACCAAACCTGAAAGTCCAGACTTTTGTTATTCCTTGAAAAACTAGAAGATATGGTAACTGGGCTCACAGTACCTTGGAGTTCCACTGAAAAAGCGGTGGTCTAGGGTCACAGAGAGTGACCCCACAGAGAGTGGGGACATGGTGACTGCTCAGGGCAGTCACGGGGATACCAGGCCCTCTTTGGTGAGCTGCAGGATCCCTGGTTCTCCCAAATGCCCCAGCTCGTGGGTCCATGTCCCATGCCTGGGCCCACAGGATAGTTCTCTTCAGTGACACCCCCAGGCCCTCTCATCAGAGAAGGGCTGGTAGGTCTGGAGATTCCAGTGGGTCTCCGTTCTAGGTTAGGCCTGATTAGGTCAGAAGCCCCCAGTGACCCACCCCTGGGCATGATGGGGGAGGGTGACCGGCAGAGAGAATGACCTCTGGAGTCCCTTGGGACCCCCACCCCAAGACATTCCCTGGCATAGTGTCAGTTCTTACCAAGCCCCATAGTAGAGTAGAAATCAGATCCACCAGAGTCGTTGAGGAGTGCTTATTGGCAGGAAACTTTAGCTAAACACTTGGCAAGAGTCACTGCAGTTCATCGTCGTGGAAGTTGGGCCATAGGAGAGACTGGCACCTCTCTGCTCAATGTCCCTTACTCCTGGGAACACTGGCTCATCCTGCCCAATTTGGAAGGGAAGGACTCCTCTGCAGAATGGAAGGAGAGCCCCATACCTCCTGCTCGGCAGAAAACCTGGAGAGAACCCTGGGGGCTGGGCTACACGTGCATCCATGTGGTCGGGGTCTTGGGTAGTGAGGACAGATCCTTGGATCTGGTCCATGCCTTGAACCATAGGGCATCCCACTTCCGGGGTCAGTGCCCCACATCCAGGAGGGGGACAGCAGACCCCATGGTGCTGAGGACCTAGAATGTTATTCCAGCCAAATCTCAAGCCAGATACAGAGGTTGACCCCTGGAGCAGTGGGGCTGGTGGGAAAAACTGTACCAAGACCATGTACCCTGAGAGGTTGCCACCCTAGGTGATAAAGTGAAGCCTCACTTCAGTGTAGTCGGGGATTCTGTGTCCCCAAAGCAGGGAGGCTCCAAGCAGATCCCCCTGCCCCACACCCAAACTTGAAAATGCCTGCCCTGACTCAGGGTGAGTAATTGAAAAGAAAACAACACAAGAAGTAAGCAGAGATTCGTAGAATTTCTTTAGCAACTCATCAGGGATAACCGAAGAGCACATTTTTGAGGAACACTTACACCCAGCAACAGCGTTGCACAAGAAAATTACACAAAGAAGCATTCGTAAAGAAAACACAGATTCTAGGAAGCCAACTACCGATGAGAAGACAATTAAATGAAAAAATGGGACAAGGTTAAGAAAATAAAGCAACTGTGTCACAGTCAATATGAAAACTATTGGAGAGGTGGATGAATATGGAGACAGTGAATAGAGATCCAATAGGTGAGTTACTGGTGTCCCCTAAGAAGAGAACAACACAAGTGAAATAGTAAAAATAAAATAAGATAAAATAAAATAAAATAAAATAATAATAATAGGTAAAGCTGTAAATGAGTTCAGCTGTGCCCAGCACACTTGTCGAAAATGGCTTTTCTATTCAAGCCCTTCCAGTCTGTGTGTGACTTCACAAGTATAACAATAGGCTGTAAAAAAGAGGGAGAGGGAGAGAGAGAGAGAGAGAGAGGAAATTATGATAAAAACAAAGAAAAACAGTAAAGGACTAGCCTGTACTGACCAAAAACTGAATTAGAGATCCAGAGTTTCACTGAACAGTAATCTTTATGAAGAACACCCACCTTCTAGATGCATCCTGGTGGAATTACTGAATGCCAAGGATGATAAAGGGTCTATCATCTAGGCTCAGGAGGAAAGGGAATTCCTTACCCAGAAAAACTCTCAGGCTGCTTTTAGACCTTCAGGTTATCCATCAGCTATTTATTGAGGAAATGCAATGGTGACTGAGGCATATCCCTCTTCCACGGTTGGCCAGGGGGTCCCCTCCCCCCGCCAGCTGGGGGCAAGGAACCCTACTGGTGCTCAGGGAGCAGGGAGGAGCCACAGCAGGCAGACCCTGTAGAGAGAAATGCTCATGGCCATACAGGAATGGGGGTGAGCCCAAAGATGCCAGAATTTCTGGGGTCACCCAGAAATTTTTAAGTTTATTTAGAGAGAGAGAGAGAATGGGGGAGGGGCAGAGAGAGAGGATCCCAAGCAGACTCTGCACTGACAACAGAGTGCCCGACCTGGGGCTCAAACTCACGAACCGTGAGATCATGACCTGAGTGAAGTCAGACCCTTAACTGATGGAGCCACGCAGGCACCTGAAAATCAGGATTCAAAATTTCAAACTTCACTCTTATCACAATGTGGTGTGGATCAAATGGAACACGTGTGGATTGCTAGCTTGTGGCCTCATTGAACCTAAAGCTATTTCAGAATGCCTGAACTAGTTTCTGGATAATGAAGTGTTCATCATCCCCTATTCGACATAAATGCCAAAACACATTTGACGATACTGTAGGCCACAGGTCAGAGGTCTGTGCGTAGTCAGGTTGGTAGGTGCTTTTAACCCAAAGAGAGCAGTGTATTTCCTCAGGTTTAAATTGTAGTCGTAGGGGCACCTGGGTGGCTCAGTCGGTTAAGTGTCCGACTTCGGCTCAGGTCATGTTTTTATGGTTCGTGAGTTTGAGCCCCGCATCGGGCTCTGTGCTGACAGCTCAGAGCCTGGAGCCTGCTTTGCATTCTGTGTCTCCCTCTCTGTCTGCCCGTCCCCCACTTGCACGTGCTGTCTCTCTTTCTCTCAAAAATAAATAAATGTTTAAAAAAATAGTTTAAGGGGCGCCTGGGTGGCGCAGTCGGTTAAGCGTCCGACTTCAGCCAGGTCACGATCTCGCGGTCCGTGAGTTCGAGCCCCACGTCAGGCTCTGGGCTGATGGCTCAGAGCCTGGAGCCTGTTTCCGATTCTGTGTCTCCCTCTCTCTCTGCCCCTCCCCCGTTCATGCTCTGTCTCTCTCTGTCCCAAAAATAAATAAAATGTTGAAAAAAAATTAAAAAAAATAAATAAAATAAAATAAAAAAATAGTTTAAAAAATTAAATAAATAAAAAATAACTTGTAGTAGATGGTAACACGTCCACTCTCATCACCGCTAAGTGATGTTTGCTCACAGGAGTCTCTGTGGGAGGAAAGCTTGTAGAGAGTTTCAGACTGTCAAATCGTTGTCCTTCACTTCCGAATTGAACTTCACCTTTTCATAGCATTTCTCTCTTCACCAAACTTTTCTTCCAGAATTCGTTGTCATCCATAATGGGATCATCACAAATTACAAAGACCTAAGGAAATTTCTGGTAAGCTACTTCCCCTGGGTTAACATGTAAGTCAGGTGGTGTCGATCTTCCCCAGAACTTTCCAACCAGCTCATTTCCCTCTGGAAGCAAAAGCAGTAGCTGAGTAAGACCCATGTCACCACATTGGACATAAACCTCATCCTGGCTCCGCCACCTTTCCAGATCTTGCAGGAGAAGATAGCAGGGCATTTGCATGTCCCTCAGGGACCACTGCAGATTCACGTAATCAAAAGAACATGAACTTCCTTTTATTAAAGTATCTGCACTGCCTAACGTATCGACTCATACACCACATGGAATGTGGGGTGAGAAGGCAGACAGTGTTTGTCTCACATATGAAAAGGTTGTGGCGTTGGTTGGGATGTGGGTGGGTTTGACTCAACATATTTGGTCATTTTGACTGCTGTTATTTTGCAATGTCCAGATTAATGGCGAGGACAGGCTTCTGAGGCAGGATGATCTCAGGGAATACTGGAATGACTCAGCTTGCTATGTGATTCTGGCAGACATTTCTTACCCCCCGTTTTCCTTGTTCTTATCTTAAGTCACTGTGAGCGTGGATCATAAGGGAGGAGAGGGAGATGGCCGGGCAACATTATGCAATGACCGTTATCTAACACTCTGTCCAACGAAATATTACAGGAAAGCAAAGGCTATGAGTTTGAGTCAGAAACAGACACAGAGACCATCGCCAAGCTGATTAAATACGTGTTTGACAACAGAGAAACTGAGGACATTACGTTTTCAACACTGGTGGAAAGAGTCATTCAGCAGCTGGTGAGTTACCAGGCCCACCTGTGTACATAAATCGCCCTTTCATTCCTTCACTTTTTCAGTAGCATTTATGAGTCGGATTTGTGCAAAGTACCTGAGGATTAAAGATGGCTTGACTACAGTGGTGCCTGGATGGCTTAGTTGGCTAAGTATCTGACTCTTGATTTTAGCTCAGGTCTTAATCTCAGGGTCATGAGTTCAGCCTCGCTTTGGGCTCTGTGCTGGGCGTGAAGTTACTAAAAACAAAAAAAGTCTACGATGTCTGGCCTTAAGATGTTGCATCATGGAGAACTGAGAGAAATCCTGAGGTGTTGGTAGTAAATATCGAGTAAGAAGTGGCTTGTTCCATCTTAACCCCTCTGAATCCATGATCGGAACTTCCCATCAGTGGTTCCTCATGATGGCACACTGCACGCGGGACCTTTGTCATCTTGTCCGCTGTGTGTGCCATTAGTTACATACCCAGGGTGCATTGAACTGATGTTGGAGACTCAGAATTGTAGTTTTTCCTCCAGTTTCAGTGAAGTGATTGTTCATCAAGGGGCAGAAATACCCACATATCTTTACTGAGCAGAGTTGGAAAGAAAAGGAAGTAAAAGCAGATGTGAACTTTTGAGAAGTTTGATTCTAGAAAAAGAGTGTCAGGAAATGGCCCAGTGGTGGTGGGAGAGGCTTGCAGTTCTGAGGGAAGACTGTTTTTTGTGATAGGGGATACCAGGTCACGTTTGTGTGCTTATCCAGGAAGAGAGAGAGAGATTGGTGATGTCCCAGAGGGCTGGACCCACAAAACTAAGCCCCAAGAAGGGGCACATGCTGGAGCAAGGGCGGGGTAGAGGGGGAGTTGTCCACAAGGACGAGGCACAACAGACTCAGGCTGTGTATGAGATGGTAGGGGTAGGAGGAGGAGTGGTCTCCAGATTTCCCAGAGTCCATCCTCCTGGGCATCCCTGCCATCCAGGAGCTCCTCCGACACAGGGGCAGCCTGGAGACAGCATTTGGGGCCAAGAATCTGGAATATCCAGGGTCAGAGGGTACAACACTATGGTTTAAAATATATCACCCTCTGGTATTTTCAGAGCCTTTTTCATAAATAAGTCTACTGTCAAACACTTTGCTCCCATTTTTGGAAGTCATAATTTAGAAGACGTTTATAGACAAGAGCCTGTCCTATACGTAATACATAGTATAATTACTATGTAATTTACAGTAAACCAGTTTGGTTTTGCTGCACGATATCTTCTCATTTCCATTTGTAATTTTAAATTTTGGAAATGCCTCCCCAGTGATGACAGGTGTAAATTTCAGTGATTTCTCTTAGCTGAAGCAATGAGGGGCTCTTTGGGGCTCTTTGGGACTGGGAAGTATTTTTCTGTTCAGTACCACGTTATTGTTGACAGAACTGGCAGGGTAAACATCAGGCTCCTGGGCAGTTTGAAAGGCCCCTAGAGGCCTGGGGATGCTGACTCTGGGTCCCTCTGGCTGTGTGACTGAGTTGACAAACTGGCCAAGGCTGCGTGGGGCCTTGGGTCTGCCATTCCAAAACATGGGGCATTTCACATGAAAATCCAGACTTCTAGCTGGTTATACATAACCCCAGTCTACTAGGGGCATGGTAAAATTAGTACAGGGTGGTCAGAATGTAGGAGAGAATTTTGCACCAGGGATTTAAATAGAGCATTGGAGTCTTGAGTTAGGAGAACTAGGTTTGTTCTGGTTTGCACAACGCAACAGAGGGTGAATGACAGTCATTGCTAAAGAAATAATAGCAACACTAATAACAACCCATGCCACTGTTGGGTTTTTCATATGGCAGGCCACTGTTCAGAGCACTTAAAGTGCATGAGCTCACATGGGAGCTCACATGGGGCACCTGGGTGGCTCAGTTGGTTGAGCGTCTGACTTGGGCTCGGGTCATGATCTCACGTTGGTGAGTTCAAGCCCCAACTCAGGCTCACTGCTGTCAGCACAAAGCCCACTTTAGATCCTCTGTCCCTTTCTCTCTCTGTCCCTCCCTGCTCACACACTCTCTCTCAAAAATGAGCAACAAAAGTACATGAGCTCACAGAAGCCATGCAAGGTAGAACTATTCTCATTTCCATTCACCACGAGGCACAAACTAGGCAATTGCTCAATTAAGGGGTGGAGACAGGGTTTGAACCCAGGCTCTACTGTGTGTCATGGAGTAGTCCCTTTCGTTCTCACAGTTCCAGGGCAGGACCCGTGGCCACAGTTCTCATTTCCTGGGCTCTAACTGCCCCCATCCATCCAGATCATCACAGAGCTGGGAATCGCTCCTTGTGGCCCTGAGCAGGGGTGGGTTCTGCTGAGCACCATGAAATCCACAAGTTCTGGTCTTTGGATTTTCCTCGTGGTACGGACTGTGTCACTTTCTTCTCCTGACATCACCCTGAAAGAGCTGTCCTGCATTCAGCACCCTGATGGAGGAACCCCAGGACCACCCACTGTGAAGAGTGACCCCCCTGTGGGGTGGTGGGCCAGGCTGCAACAGCCCTGGCAGCTCAGGTGGGGCCGGAGCACATGCGGCTCACTCTTGTTTGCTGTGTTTACAGGAAGGTGCATTCGCGTTGGTTTTCAAGAGCATCCACTACCCGGGAGAAGCTGTTGCGACCAGGTGAGGCAAAAACACATTGACATTTCAAGAACAAATAAATAAAATAAGATTGTTTAGCTTGAGACAACAGGGGAGAAGTGAGACCGTGGCTTATGCACCCTACCATCTCTGTGGCTGGGCTTCTGATTTTTAAAAGAGAAAGCAGAAAGTTGATTTTTTATTTGAAATCTCCAGATTTTCAGAAGTTGACAACAAATTCAAAGTAAAAATAAAACTGTATAGCAAGGGGCAGATCCAGGTTGCAGGTCAGTTTTGGAGATGCCTTCTGGAAAAAGCTTGCAAAATTATGAATGTGAAACTAGGAACAAGTGAACATTAATTTGAATCCAGTAAGAAGAGGCCTTGAAGGCCCCACGCTCAAGCTTCATCACCTGCACACCAGAGGTGTTCTAGAGGGCCAGCCGACATGTCCCTCTGTTGGATAGAGCCACATGGCCCCCAGTGATGTGTGGATTCACACAAGTGGGAACATGAGTGCCATCCTGTTATTTTATATTCAGATGAACTGATTATCCATCTGTCCATCTGCCATCAGTCTGACCATCCATCTACACATCTACCTGTCCATCTGTCCTTCCCTCCCTCCATCCATCCAACTGATATTTGTTGAGCACTTAGTCTATACTGGGTCCTAGGGATCTATTAACACCTGACCTAGTCCTGTCTTTAAAGACTGGACATTTGTGCAGGAGGACAGAGCAGGGCAGAGGGTGTTGATACTCCGTGTTGGGGGCTGGGAGGCAATGCATTGGGGAGCATGAGGGGGTACAAATGTCAGCCTTGGGGAGGTGGCCAGAAGCACCAGTGTGAGCAAAAGGAAGGGGCCTAGAGTGAGCTCAGCATTCGGGGATCTGACCCAGAGCAGCCTGAGTCCCCTTCAGAAAAAAAATAGAAAAGACCCTGGTTGAGGGCACAGATGGGGTCACCAGGGACACGCCAACCCTTGCTCTTCAAAGGAGCCCCTGGAATGTGGCCCAGATTCTATAATGAAAGCAGTGGCTATTTCCAAGACACTTTGTAAGCTCATTCCTCATGGTAGCAGTCATGGGGGGACTTTCTGCTCTTTCAGAAAGACAGACTGACACCTGCTGTGTACCAGGCATTGGAGACAGCAGTGAGCAAGGTCGTGTACACTCTGCCCCTCTAGCTCCTAGGGCTGGTGGGGAGTGAGGATGTTGGCAGAAGCCCTGCTCTGCAAGGTCTCAGGTGCACTGTGGACTGAAAGTTTCATTCTGAAGCCTCTGAGGAGCCATGGAGAATGCACCTGTGGCCTGGAAGACGCAGAGAGAACGAGGCAGTCCCTCACAGACAGTCATATTCTCTAGGCAGGAAATGATGGGAATGTATCATGATTTAATTTTTGTTCAGGATAGGAAGGAATTTACCGCTTGGCATTCAATTTCTTCAATCATAGAATTATAACAGACCGCTTGTCCCTATTAAATTTCGAAACCCCGGGGCACTTGGGTGGCTCAGTCAGTTAAGCAGCCAACTTCAGCTCAGGTCATGACCTCACGGTTCATGAGTTCGAGCCCCGCATCAGATTCTGTGCTGACAGGTCAGAGGCTGGAGCCTGCTTCAGATTCTGTGTCTCCCTCTCTCTCTCTCAAATATAAATAAACATTAAAAAAAATTAGAAACCCCTTTTAAAACTTGATACTATCATGGTATTACTATTTTAAATGAATGCAAAAGAAGGCCATGTGAAGAAGCAATAAAGCTTTATATTTCTAAATTGTCCATAACCTGCCGGCTCTGTAACCTCCTGGGCAATCTTTGGGATGCCTCGGGAGCATTATCTGAGGCGAAGTTCAGAGAAATCATAGAGCTCTATCTACAACAATAAAATATGAGGGAGACGTTTGCCAAGAAAATTAGATAACCACAGTACTTTCTCATTGTCAATGTTATAAAGGCCATTCGAGCTGGCTCTCCATTGTACCAGAGCCATGTCTCCTCTGCTTCAGATATGATAAAAGATGGTCCAGATTATTCAAGGTGCTCACAGCACTTTCTTCAAAGCCACAGACTTTGTCCCCCCACTTGGGGAAGTCGGATGTGGGGCTGGGAGAGGAAACCTGAGTTTGAGGCTGCAGGAACTCCCACAGAGGAAACATCACTGTCCCCTCTGTGATGGAGTCCAGCTCGTGCAGGTCAAGGAATTGAAACTTCGCCCAGGAGGTGACACTCAGAGACAAAACCACCCTTGAAAGTGTGTTAAGTGGCCCACAAAGTTGAGCAGATCCAAAGCCAGTCATCAGAATGCCCCTCAAAGCTGGAGAACAGCCGAGCTAGGCAAAAGGGGCGGGGCAGGGGGAGGGAAGAGAGTCTTTGGGCAGGTCAAGGGCGTCCAGGGCTCCTGCTTTAAAGATGGCAGTAAATAGCAGCAAGCTGGAGCCATGAAGTGAGGGCCTATTGATGCCTCAGCCGCAGTGATCTAACCATGTGGGGATTCACTGGGCAGGTGGGTGGTACCGTGAAAGCGAGCCAGAATTCTGCCAGTCGGTTGGTCCCTGCCCCAAGCCCTGGGAGCATCTTCCTGTGGCTCAGGAGTCTGTCCTGTAGGATCTCAACAGGACACTTTCCCCTGTTGGAAGGGCTAGATGCGGGGACCCCTCCTCAGTGCTAAGAGGCCATCCAGCCCTGCCTCGGGTGTTGAGACAATGAGCAACTCGACTCCCTATTGTCTCTACAGGAGAGGCAGCCCCCTCCTCATTGGAGTGCGCAGCAAATACAAGCTTTCCACGGAACAGATCCCCATCTTGTACAGGACACGTAAGTTTTTCGAGAAGGACTTGAACAGGGCAGGGGGCCCTGGTGCAGGCAGATTTCTTCTGTCTGCCGGGGCCCGTCCGCATAAGGCTCCAGGTCAAAAAGGCTTTTGTGCAACTGAGACTTGGGTCCCTCTTTGCAAAAGCTTTTTATTATAGATATCTTCAAACACATACACAAGTCCAGGGGAAGGCATGCAGCTCCATTACATAAAGGCATCCACGCTCTGGTATGAGTGTTGATTTGCTTTGTTTTGTTCACAGCCATTCAAAAAGCTCTTGCAGTGGCACCGTGCTATTTGGGGATCATTTTCACGATTTGGCTGACGCAGCCAAAGCTAAAAATTGCAGATTTCTCCCACACATATTCAAAGGGAAAGCTGGCGCCTTGCTTCATGTTATTCAAACAAAATAGTTTAATGTCACTTGCGATCCTTCCTTCACCAGGCAATTTCGAGAACGTAAAGAAGATCTGCAAAACAAGAATGAAGAGGCTGGACAGCTCAACCTGCCTTCATGCCGTGGGCGATAAAGCAGTGGAATTCTTCTTTGCTTCTGACGCAAGGTAGCTAAAGCTTGTTTCCTTTCTCTGCTAGGATTATGTAACCAAAAATGACTGGCCAGACACCACCATTTTTCATTTATCCCCGCTTTTCAGCTGTTTTCTTACAGCAAGGGGCAGGGATGATGGCAGATTTCAGTTCTCTGTGACCCTTCTCCGAGAACCTTAGAGAACCACTGAGGGCACCTCATGACCAAGGGCAGGATTCACTGACCTCCACAATGTTTTGGGGCCTGCACAGAATAATTGAATTATTTGCCAACATTTTAAAAGGGGGGAGATTTCACATAAAATTCTGGATTTCTAGCTTCTCTGGAAAATCAGCAGATCTGAGCACCCTGGGTTGTGCTCCCTCTGGCCCAGGATGTCTGGGGCCACTCAAAGGCGATGCTCCCTTTAGCTAGCTGAGGCAGGTGTCTTCAGACCTTTGGTCCTTCTCTCACCCCACCTGACTCTGCCTGAGTCTGAGCACTCATGATGAGAGGGCCAAGACCTAGGAGTGTGGTCCAAGTCATTTCTAAGTCCATGTTCTCATTAACAGACAATACTTCTGAAATTTGAGGAAGTCTGCTTCATATCCATTTTAGTACAAAAAATTTATACACATCCATATACACATACTCAGAAAAGACCAAAACACTTTCCTGGTAGTTGAAATAGAAAACACTACCATAAGGGTGCCTGGGTGGCTCAGTCAGTTAAGCGTCTGACTCTTGATTTGGGCTCAGGTCACGATCTCACGGTTTGTGAGTTCGAGCCCTGCATTGGGTTCTGCACTGGCTGCTTGGGGCCTGCTTGGATTCGCTCTCTCACTCCCTCTCTGCCCCTCCCCGCTTGGGCTCTCTCTCTCTCAAAAACAAATAAACATTAAAAAAAAAAACTTTTTAAAATCCAACTGAAAGCCTGTTCGAACTAATCCTAGAGGCTAGTCAGAGAATGAAGATGTGGAAATCAGACATCCCAGCAGTTCAGCTATCAGCTGAACAAGGCTGCAGAACCATATCCACCCCGTTTCCTCTTGTGCCTCCTCACATGACTGGCACAGTAAACCCTCAGCAAGCCTTTCTTGAACAAAAACCAAAAAAAAAAAAAAAAAAAAGTAATCTATTTACCCGAGCTAGAAAAACTATTTTAATCCCTTAAGATAAATCTTAATAAAAATAGTCCAGAGTCTCTCCAGAGAAGACTACAAAAGTCAGCAATGAGAAACAAGACCAGATTTGAATAAAGGGAGAGAGTCCACATTCCTTGGTAAAAAGGCTTAACATTATTTTTAAAAAAACTAATTGGTTTAAAGTTATTTTATTTTATTTTATTTTTTTTAATTTTTTTTGAACGTTTATTTATTTTTGGGACAGAGAGAGACAGAGCATGAACGGGGGAGGGGCAGAGAGAGAGGGAGACACAGAATCGGAAACAGGCTCCAGGCTCCGAGCCATCAGCCCAGAGCCCAACGCGGGGCTCGAACTCGCGGACCGCGAGATCATGACCTGGCTGAAGTCGGACGCTTAACCGACTACGCCACCCAGGCGCCCCGGTTTAAAGTTATTTTAATAATTAAAAATTGTTTTTTAAAGATAACTGACTCTCCTTAATCTGCAAATTTGATGCTATAATTAAAAATCCTCACGATTTCTTTGCTTGTTTAGGATTTGGAACTTGGAAAGATGATTTTACAGTGTATGGTGTGTAGACCAGATATGGGTGACCCTCCCAGATACGAAGGCACACTGTAGAACCCGCAGGGCAACAGTAGCCAGTGCTGAGGGCTTCACCAGGATGGTCTCATTTAATAAACACAACCAGGGCACCTGTGTGGCTCAACTGGTTAAGCGTCTGTTGATTTCGGTTCAGGTCATAATCTCGCAGTTCGTGGGTTTGAGCCCCGAGTCAGACACTGTCAGCACAGAGCCTGCTTGGGATTTTCTCCGTCTCCCTCTGCCTCTCCTGTACACTCTTTCTTTCTCTCTCTCTCAAAATAAATAAACATGAAAAAAAGTAAACACAACAAACTTCTAGTGAAGGCATAGTGATCATATCCCATTTTACAAATGAGGAATTTGACATACGGGCTCAGAGGGGTCATATCTGGGCTGCTTGAGGGCACAATGTTGGTAACAGACAGAAATAAGGATATCATATTGGGTCTGTCTAACTCCTGGGCCAGTAGTCTTTTTTTTTCCTTTTTTTTTTTTTTTTTACATTTATTTATTTTTGAGAGAGAGAGAGACAGAGTGTGGGCGGGGGAGGGGCAGAGGGGGAGGGAGACACAGAATCAGAAGCAGGCTCCAGACTCCGAGCTGTCAGCACAGAGCCCAACGCAGGGCTCAAACCCAGGAATCGTGAGATCATGACCTGAGCCGACGTTGGATGTTTAACCGACTGAGCCACCCAGGCACCTCTGGGCCAGTAGTCTTAATGATGGACTATATCACCATCCATTTTGTAAATAATAATAATTATATTTAAACGTGCAGGGGCGCCTGAGTAGCTCAGTCAGCTAAGCATCCAACTTCAGCTGAGGTCATGATCTCATGGTTTGTGGGTTCGAGCCCCACACGGGGATCTGTGCTGATAGTTTGGAGCCTGGAGCCTGCTTCAGATTCTGTGTCTCCCTCTCTCCCTGCCCCTTCCCCACTCATTCTCAGTCTCTCTCTCAAAAATAAATAAAATATTTTAAAAAATAAATAAATTAACATGCAGACATACAGGCACACATAAATGCAAACACACGTGTATTTAGCACTGCCTGGAGAGCAATACAGTATAAGTGGTGTTTCTCTCTTGGAGATGGGATCAGGCCATTTTCTTCCTCTTATTATTCTGTGTTTTCTACTGTTTAAACAATGCATGTATACTGTTCAAAGTATTTTTTTCCAGTGCGGTGGTTTCCCATCCTTCTTTAGAAGTCTGTCTTCCTGAGCATCTGTCTAGAGACACCTTTCTTAGGGCCATGGAATGTGGCCACTTCTTTCTTTAACTTTACGTCAGGAATTATAAATGTTCATTTTTTGGCACAGGGCAGGTGTGGGTGTGGCACTTGGTGGAATGAGGATTTTTTTCTCCCATGGTCTTATAAGTGCCACCCTTCATGGTTTTGTTTTTTATTTGTTTTTTATTTTTGACCATAACTATGTACCATTTGTGCTATTGATTAGTTTGCTTTTTCACCTACCAACTTTTCTAATGCCATTTATTTTTAAAAGAAACTTTGTATTGCCATTTTGCAAGACAAAAATTATCATTACTTTCCATACAAAGTTATTATAAAAATAAGCACAATGGGGCACCTGGGTGGCTTAGTCAGTTAAGCATCCAACTCTTTATTTCAGCTCAGGTCATGATCTCACAGTTCATGAGTTCCAGTCCTGCCTTGGGCTCTATGCTGACAGCACGGAGCCTGCTTGGGATTCTCTCTTTCTCCCTCTTTCTTTGCCCCTGCCCTCCTCCTGCACTCACTCTCTCTCTCTCTCAAAAATAAATAAATAAATAAATAAATAAGCATAATGACCCCACATTTCATTGGTGGACATATTTTTTACTTTGCTTTTAAACTATCCCTTTTTCCTTGCAGGGAGTGTGTGTGTGTGTGTGTGTGTGTGTGTGTTATGAAACTGAGTCATTTGTCCTGATGACTTTCCCACTGTCTGGATTTTGCTGAGAGAATCCCCCATGGTGTCATTTAACACGTTCCCCTGCCCACTGCATTTCCGCGCACTGGCGTTCACAGGTGTCTACAAACTTGATCTCCTTCTGGTTTGATTTTTTGGCAAGACGGCTTCATAGATGGTGGTGTGTCCTTCTATCAGGAAGCATATATGTCTCATTGTCTGTCTTTTTATGCTGTTAAGATTGATCAGGGGGTTCATGCGCCAGACAGCCTCACCCATCCGTTGTAAAGCTGCTCTCTGCTTTTCACCTCTTGGTTTCAGCAGAGCACTTCATGGTCCTTACTTAGAACTATTAGTAATTAGGAGTCCATAAATTGGCTATTCTGATGCTGTCATTCCTTATTTATTAGCTGTAGTCCATCCATAAATTTGCCTTCATGAACAATGTGGTTATTCTGAAAGATCAGATCAGTTTAAAAAGCAAGATAAATGTTTCATTCTTTCCTGTTCCGATTTAGAGTAATGTGTTGGTTCCCAAGCATTCTCCAAAGGTGACACTGTCTGGATTATGATTTGAAGAAAACGGTCGTAAAAGGCCATCTGTGAGATTACTGGGGAAATCTGAACATACTGGATATTTGATGATATGAACGAATAACTACTAATTTTAGATGTGATGATGGTATTGTGGGTTTAAAATTTTTCCCTCTCTTTTAGAGATAGAAGCTAAAATGTTTACAGATGAAATGATGTTGTCTGAGACTGGATTCAAAACAATTCTGGGGGGAAGGAGGAAGGTGTGAATTGATGTGTATAGTGTAGTGTCCCTGTCCCTCCCAAAATGCCATCTGATGCTACTGATGGGGACCCATACTGGGGAGGCAAGTGAGTGACTGCCTTGTAGCTGTCAAGCACGTGCAGGCCCCGTCTGTGATGCCCATGTTTCCCTTGCTCCAGTGCTATCATAGAACACACCAACCGAGTCATCTTCCTCGAGGATGACGACATCGCCGCAGTGGCTGATGGGAAGCTCTCTATTCACCGGGTCAAGCGTTCAGCTAGTGATGACCCATCTCGAGCCATCCAGACCTTGCAGATGGAACTGCAGCAAATCATGAAAGGCAGGTGTCCTCTGAGGGTCCGTGTGCAGCGGCCTTGGTGGGGGGGGGGGCAGGTGCTCGATGGGGGAGCTCCTGAGACTCTCTGTCCTACCCTGAATAGGTGCCACAGCCCTCCTACCTGCCGTGGCCATTAGGGTGGCGTTGCAGGTGCTCTGTGGCTTGCCCAGCCCAGGGGATGCGGGAAGCCTGGTCCCGCTCCCCCAGCAGGAGTTCCTGACTATATAAAGGCACTAGGTCTCCCTGCTTGATCTGACAAGTCCATCAACTGCCTTCCTTTACTAACTCTCTGGGACACATTCTTCTACCCAGACATTTCTTCTCTGGGTCAGAGGCCTGCAATAACAGGGGTCTGTGGACTATTTCCTCCTTGCGAGGAGAGCCTGTCTCCCTACACCCCCTTCTCCACAGGGCAGCCTGGGTAAACATTTAGGAATGTGAATCAGACCTTTTTATCCAGCTGCTTAAAGCCCTCCAATGGCCACCCACTGTTCTGAGAATAAAATCCACACTTCCTGCCACAGCCCACAATACCCCATGCCCAACCTGGCCCCACCTCACTCTACCCTTTTCCCACTATGCCCTGCCCCCTCTCCAACCACCTCACTGTTACTTAGGCAGGCCAAGTGCTTACTCACCTGAGGGTCATTGTACTTGACTGATTACTTTTGGTCATTCTACCTTGATCATCGCCCAGTCAGAGAGCTCTTCCCTGACCCTCCTCACTTGTCTTGTTTGCTTTATGGCACTCTCTGTCAAGTCCCCAGCTAAAGGTGGCAGACAGGAAACACTGCAGTGTTTGGAACATTCCCACCCTGTCTGTGAATGCTTCCAAAGCTTGAGGCACAACACCTGTCAGGGGCCTTAACCCGTTGCGGCCAGATCATCCCTTTGATGTCATCCAGTTCCATTCAAATCAGAGCCCTGGAAATGCATGTGTTGGCTGAAAAGGTTTTTATTTAATACAGAGGCTCGGAGGGCATCTGTTGAAAAGAAGATTGCCAGGGCACCTGGGTTGTTCAGTCGGTGAAGTGTCCGACTTCGGCTCAGGTCATGGTCTCGCAGTTTGTGGGTTCGAGCCCCGCGTCAGGTTCTGTGCTGACAGCTTGGAGCCTAGAACCTGCGTCAGATTCTGTGGCTCCCTCTCTCTCTGCCCCTCCCCCTCTCACACTCTGTCTCTCTCTCAAAAATAAATGTTTAAAAAAATTAAAAAAATAAAATAAAATTGCCTATTTCTCAGGGCTTACTTCTTTTGTACTTCCTTAAGTGGTTGGTTTTTGGAAGTAAAGCATTTTCCTTTCCTCTGCCCCTGCTGAGAGGAGTATTGCCCCAGAAAGACCAGCCACATATTTGTTGCTTACTTCTTTTGCTCCTTCAAGCTGCAGGGTCTGATATGCACACTGGAGATAGTAATCTTATCTGACCTGTTTGCCTCTCACTTGTTACCAGGAGAATCAGGTGGGACGGCCCCTGGGACACCCTTGGTAATGTGCAGTGGCCTTCCCATGTGTCACTGACACTAAACTGCATATCAGCTTTCCATCTTGATTGGAAGTTAAGCAGTGGTAAAACAACTGAATTAAAATTGACCTGCTTTGTTGGTGTTTATTTGACCAGGTAACTTCAGTGCATTTATGCAGAAGGAGATCTTCGAACAGCCAGAATCAGTTTTCAATACTATGAGAGGTCGGGTGAATTTTGAGACCAACACAGGTAATCCCCCATCCATGCCCTAGGTTGAGGCACGTCCCTGTGTGGGGTTAGCACTAATGCCCTGCATGTGCCCCACAGTGCTCCTGGGTGGCTTGAAGGATCACCTGAAGGAGATTCGACGATGCCGACGGCTCATCGTGATTGGCTGTGGAACCAGTTACCACGCCGCAGTGGCTGTAAGTCCAAGGCGCTGGGCCCTCGATAGCGCTGGGGAGGGAGCAGCAGCCCAGGACAAGATGTGTCTTAAATGCCATCATGTGTTTGACCTCCCAAATTTGGTGCCCACAAGCCAACATGAGAGCCTTTCTCCTGCAGTGTGGCCTGTGCACGTCTGAAATTCCCTTCACCACGAGGACCCAGAGGTGCCACTTCATAAAACTGTCCCCAGAAGCCCAGCTGCCTGTGTCTCTGTAGTGTCTGTGACTGACTTTGGTCCCCATTCTTGTTGGCTTCAGACACGGCAAGTTTTGGAGGAACTGACTGAGCTCCCTGTGATGGTTGAACTCGCCAGTGATTTTCTGGACAGGAACACACCTGTGTTCAGGGATGACGTTTGCTTTTTCATAAGCCAGTCAGGTAAGGAATACGGGTTTGCGTGAGTTCATCTCAGGGCTCTGTCCTTTTGGTAACACACCATGTATCTCCTTCCCTCCTTCATCCAGTAGAGTTCTCTGCACACTGAGCATGTGCCAGACTCTCTTCTCAGTTGACCCTCAGAGCCATCAGTCACTGTCTCATTTTAGGGGGGAGCCATGCGACCAAGAATTCTCCCTCCTCCTGCCATTCCAAGTCCAGAACTTAAGGGACCACTCACCAAAGTGCTTATACATAGGTGCTGGGTTTATTTCAAAGAGAGAAAGTTCTTCAAAATTCTGCTGGTTGAGTGTCACTTCAACAACTATATGGATGCTTTGCAGTTCCCATGCTGTCCAGCAGGAGATGCATTGAGAGACCTTGCTCAGGTGTAGGCCCAGCACACCCTCAGTAAACCCTGCCTGGGTGCCATCCTAACTCTAAACATGGGCACCTGCTCCAGTCAGGCTGGGCAGAGAGTCAGGGAGGTGATTCATGGCCACATGCTTGGACATTCTATGACCTCCAGAAGGATTTTTAAAACATTTTAATTATGGAAAATTCCAAATCTCTGTAAAAGTAGAGAGATTTACATAAGGAACTACCTATTCTCAGCAACGATCAGCTGAGCAGAGTTTGTGTCATCCAGATCCACATTAACCTGTCCCCTTCCCTGGGTCATTTTGAAGTCAATCCCAGACATCATGTTGCTCCACAAATACTTCAGAATGGATCTCTAAATGGTAAAAGAAAAAAAAAAAACATAACCGTTATGTCATTATCACAATTAAAACATTAACAGCAATGCTCTAATATCCACTGGGACTTCGAATACTGCTTCCGGTTTGAATTTTGAAGACCCATTTCCATTTCCATGACAAACTAAGAAAAACGAATACAGACACACTCACCCTCCGGCTGACAACTTGTAGCCATGTGCTGCTGTGTGACTTCATTTTGTTTGTTTGTTTGTTTGTTTGTTTGTTTGTTTTGAGAGAGAGGGAGCCCATGCATGCACAAGTGGGGGAGGGGCAGAGAGAGAGGGAGAGAGGAAGAATCCCACCAGGCGCAGACCCCGAAATGGGGCTTGAGCCCATGAACCAATGAGCTGAAATGAAGAGTCAGACGCTTAACCAACTGAGCCACCCAGGAGCCCCTTGATGGGTTTAATTTTATGATCGGACTGTATTTAATTTAGTTTGAGGTTTCAAGGCTTACAAATACAGGGTGCTTGTGCTGGCTTATTTGTGAATCTATTTAAGTAGCTTAGTTATAAAAATAATTTTGAGTTCACACTGGCAGGCTGCAGAAGTGTTTTGCTTTTTTTTTTTTTTTAATTTTTTTTTTTCAACGTTTATTTATTTTTGGGACAGAGAGAGACAGAGCATGAACGGGGGAGGGGCAGAGAGAGAGGGAGACACAGAATCAGAAACAGGCTCCAGGCTCTGAGCCATCAGCCCAGAGCCTGACGCGGGGCTCGAGCTCACGGACCGCGAGATCGTGACCTGGCTGAAGTCAGACGCTTAACCGACTGCGCCACCCAGGCGCCCCAGAAGTGTTTTGCTTTAAAGCAATGTTAGATCTATTGGAGAAATGCCATTTAGTGGCATTCTTGCTTTTTTTAAATTTTATTTATTTACTTAATCTCTATACCCAGTGTGGGGCTGGAACTCATCACCCCGAGACCAAGAGTCACATGCTCTTCTGACTGAGCCAGCCAGGCGCCTTGCATTCTTGCTTTTTATTTGTATTTATTTATTTATTTTAAATATTTATTCATTTTTGAGAGAGAGCAAGCACAAGCAGGGGAGGGACAGAGAGAGAGAAGCAGAGAGTCTGAAGTGGGCTCTGTGCTGATAGCAGCAAGCCTCATGCAAGGCTTGAACTCACAAACCATGAGATCATGAACCATGAGATCATGACCTGAGCCGAAGTTGGATGCTCAACCGTTCAACCGACTCAGCCAGCCAAGCGCCTCACATTCTTGCTTTTTAAATGTTAAATCTCAGCACATTCTGAAGAAGGCAGCTTAAAGTCCTAGAAAGGATGCTGGGCACCTGGCTCACCTGGGTTGGCACCAGTCTGTCGCCCACAGCTGCGTGGCCCTGAAGGAGCAAGGCTTTGGTTTCTTCCATCTCTGGGGATCTCATCCTCACGGGGAGAATGGGGACAATGGCCCCATGGGGTTGCCAGGAGAGTTCCATGACATAGCGGATGAGAAAGTGCTTCCCACATAAATAGCAGCTGAATCTTGAATCCAAGAATCCACCGGAAACATGGTTGAGTGTGCATTTTCCTTTCTGACCACACGCCGGCTGCCTGTGGGCCCTGATTTCTGCATAAAAGAGTAAATGAGTTGGGGGACAGGGGGTTTGAGCTGGCAGAGCCACGCTCCTGAGAACACATGGCTGAAAGGTGGGGCCCGTGTGGCAGGTGAGACCGCAGATACCCTCCTGGCATTGCGCTACTGTAAGGACCGTGGGGCCCTGACCGTGGGCGTCACCAACACCGTGGGCAGTTCCATCTCCCGAGAGACCGACTGCGGTGTCCACATCAACGCAGGACCAGAGATCGGCGTGGCCAGCACCAAGGTAGTCACCTCCTGCATGTGTCCTGAGGGAGGGCTTCGACCAGATGGGTGGACAGGAGGCTGTGGGTTGGGGAGGGGGCGCTCCCAACAATCTGTCTCCTCCTGCGTGGTTCACATGCACACATTCGCCCCTGCTCTGCCAGAGTCACCGTTTTATCCACAGGCTTATACCAGTCAGTTCATCTCCCTGGTGATGTTTGGTTTGATGATGTCTGAAGACCGCATTTCACTGCAAAACAGAAGGCGAGAGATCATCCATGGTTTACAGTCTTTACCTGGTATGTTTCAGAATGAAACTTTCCTTATTTTGAAATCCAGTAGACTGTCCTTAGTTGCTTTCTCTTTTGACTCTTTCCCATAAACAATGCTGTTAATCACTTCCTCCTCTTCAAAACTTCCTACTCACCACGAAATGCCTCCAGAAGCTCCCACTGGGCCAAGATTAAAGTCCTCACTCCTCTCCGGGTCCTTGAACACTGCACACTGGACCCCTGCCACCTCTGACCTCATCCCACTCTCCTTCCCCTCCCTGGGCTCCTTCATTGACCTTCTGATCCTCAGCAATACCAAGCTGTCTACCACAGGACGTTTGCACTGACCCTTTCCTTTACAGGAGCCCTCTTCCTCCAGCTCTCCATACAACTGATGGCTTTTCATTATTCAAGTCTCAGTTCAGATGTCACCTCCTGGAACCCTTCCTTGCTATCCTAACTAACCCCCTGCCCCAGCCGTGAAATGTTAGCCCATTTCTTTTCTTTATAGCGTGTGCCATGGTATGAAATTACCTGTCCTCCAGTGTGCTGGCTTGTCTCCCAATGAGTATGTCAGCCCAGTGAGCATATAACCCTAACTGTCAGGGTCACTGCTGATATCCAGCCAGGGCAGGCATGGAGTAGGTGCTCAGGAAATATCTGAGAAGGAGCAGATGGCCCTGAGCCTTTTCCTGAACCGGAGTGCTCCGTCAGTCTCCCCAAACGTCCCTCTTTGGCTGGGTCCCTCCCATCTATTGTAGTCGGTGAGATGCAGTGTTTATCACACTGAATCGCAAGCTTTTGGGGGGGGACAATGGTTTCCATCATTCGCCCACTGGTGTGCCCTGTCCCGTGTGTCATCCTGAGGGCCAAGGAGATAACAGCTCCTTTCCTTCAGACACTTGCTCTCCAGGGAAGGAGAGAGACCTATTGGGTTTTCTTTGTGCAGCCCTGAGATTGCCAAATGAAACAGCCCCTTGGCTGACATGAAATGCGGGGGGCAGGATGGTCACAAGGCTGTGGGACAGCCCCTTCCAGAGATGGGGTAGGCACTGGGTCCATCCTGGGAGCCAGGGGCAAACCCCAGAGAAGGCAGTGAGGGAAAGCCAGCATCTAATCATACAAAGCCTAGAGATCTGAATCTGGCCCACACAACATGCTGAAAATTTACTGACAAAAAACTGGTCTTCACCTTCAGCCAGGTACCAACAGTGCGAAAACAGGACTCTATCCTGATGTCTAAGTCAGCCGTTCTCAAGATGTGGTCTGCAGGTCCTATTACTATTTTCACAGTAAACATGCTATTTATAACAAATAAGATGTGTTTGCCTTTTTTGCCGTGTGGACATTTGCAAAGGCAGCGGTGGCTACCGCTGGCACCTTAGCACATGCCTCCACACACCCCACTTCACTCAAGGACTTCTTCACGAGGCAGTAAAATGCATTAGTCTTAGTAAATCGCAACACTCTTCAGTATTCTGTTTCCAAGAAAAGCATCCTGGGATTGTTTGAGTAACAAGCTGATTAGAGTACTTGGCAGATGTTTTCTCAAAAATGAACAAAGTTAGCCCGCCACTCTAAAGAAGAAAAACTGACCGTATTTGTTGCCAGTGATAAACTTCAAGCTCTCCAGTGAAATTTAGGATTTGGGAAAACTTGTAGCTGCCAGCATGAGCTCGACCACTTCCCACACTTAAACACAACTCTGATGAAGCCATGGTGACTTTAGCATATGTGATTTCTAAAAAATATTTTATGATGAAGTATGTCCATTTTTAGAAGATTTGCATAACTCAGTCAACCTATGTTTTCCAGATGGTCAATGCATGATGTGACAAAATTATACACCATGTAAAACATCCACTTAAATAGATGCAAGATTGGGGCACCGGGTGGCTCAGCCAGTTAAGCATCTGACTTCGGCTCAGGTCGTGATCTTGTGGTTTGTGAATTCAAGCCCTATGTTGGGCTCTGTGCTGATGGCTCAGAGCCTGGAGCCTGCTTCCGATTCTGTGTCTCCCTCTCTGCTTGTCCCTCCCCAGTCATGCTCTGTCTCTCTCTCTCTCTCAAAAATAAAACATTAAAAAAAATTAAATAAATGCAATAGGGGTGCCTGGGTGGCTCCGTCGGTTAAGTGTCAGACTCTTGATCTTGGCTCAGGTCATGATCTCACGGTTGGTGAGTTCAAGCCCCATTTCAGGCTCTGCACTGACAGTGTGGAACCTGCTTGGGATTCTGTCTGTCTGTCTCTCCTCTCTCTCACGGTAAATAAACTTAAAAAAAAATAAAAGTTTTAATGTAACAAGGTAGGAAAAGCTTATTGAGATGATTTCAAATTCTCCATTTGCAACTACTCTTTTAAGAAATTACTGTTTCTCCAGACTGGCTGATTCAGTCACTAGAGTATGTGACTCTTGATCTCGGGGTCATGTGTTTAAGCCTGCAGAGATTACTTAATTAACTAATTAGAAAAAAAATAAATGACCATTTCTTGAGTTTCATGTAATATCAGAGAAGAACATTCACAATTTTTTGAAAAAGTTATTTAAATACTCCTCCCTTCTCCAACTACAAATCTCTGTGAGGCTGGATTTTCTTCCTATACTTCAACCAAAAAAAAAAAAATGTATCATGAGAGTTTGAATGAGGAAACAGATATGAGAATCTGTCTTTGTTAAAAAGTCAGACATTTAAAAAATCTCCAAAAATTTAAAACTACTATTCTCACTAATTTTTAAAAATGTGTAATAGGTTTATTGTTACTTTTAAATGAATGAATACAAATATCTTTACTTTTCTCAGTTTCTAATCTGGTAAACATTGAGAGACAGAACCAACAAAAATAATGGCTCTTAGGGATTCACAGTAATTTTTAAGAATAAAGAAGTCCTGAGAACAAAAAGTTTGGGAAACACTGGTCCATCTTACACTGGGCATTGTCTCTAGATTTAGCATGTGGCCTGGATTGGGGGGGGGCATTAATTTGGAGTGTCAGCTCTGTGTCTTTCCACCTGGTGACTTAGCCTCTCTGAGCTTCAGTTGCCTTACCTGTAAAATGGAGTTAGAAATAACACCTCACTGCTTATCTTACATGCTCAAGAAAGTATGAACATAAATATGAATTGCCACCCAACAAAACCCAGGCAAATCCCACAAGTTATTGCCCAAAATCTACATTTAACTTTTTTAAATGTTTATTCTTGGGGGGGGGGGTACAGAGTGGGGGAGAAGCAGAGAGAGAGGGAGACACAGAATCCTAAGCAGGCTCCAGGCTCATCAACACAGAGCCCAACATGGGGCTTGAACCCACGAACTGTGAGATCATGACCTGAGCTGAAGTCAGATGCTTAACCGACTGAGCCACCCAGGTGCTCTTACATTTAAAATCCTTTTTAAACCGAGGCAAGGAAGCCAAGTGTATTAAGTGGTGTGAATTCCAAAACTATGTCTTATACACCATGATTTTTCTTTGTGAATCTTGCTGTAAAATCTGTGTGACTCACAACCCCTCACTGTGTTTGCGGCTTAGGGCTGATTAAGGAAGTGCTGTCGCTGGACGAGAAGATTCATGACCTGGCCCTGGAGCTCTACACCCAGAGGTCACTCCTGGTCATGGGACGGGGCTATAACTATGCCACATGCCTGGAAGGAGCCCTGGTGAGCCTCCTTTGCCCACCCCCCCCCACCTCCACCAGCCTGGGCATGAGGGCAGACATGGGAGACACCCCGAGACACCAGCGGGAACGGGGGAAGGGCGCTGGGCCAGGGGAGGGGAGCGCTTGGGGACTTGCTGCCACCTGTGTGAGGCTGCATCAAGCACCAGCTCATGACCTGTTCGGGCCCTGGGGATCCTGAGGTGGACGCTCCCAATCTCCTGAGGAGAAAGGGGCAGGGCACCCTTGGGTGAGCCCCTGAGGTGTCAACCTGCACCAGGCTCCATGTGGGATGGTCCATACGTTCTTCATGAGCGTCTTCTGAGAGGCTGGCAGTTATTGTCCACATTTCACCTAGGAGGGAACTGGACCCCCAAAGGTTCATCTTGCTCAGGAGGGAGTGATTGGTCTGAGATTCAAACTCAGGTCCATGTGGCCTTGGGTTATTTCCACGACCACAAGCAGACTGTGCGGGAGGATTCAGGCCGATGAGAATTGCGGGGCAGGCTCTCTGTGGAGTTTCCCTGTTACCCCTCAAACTTCCAAGGGGATGCAGAGATCCTGAAGGAGTGAGCTCTGAAGGCCCTGCTTTTGTCAAACTTTTAACTGGCTGTTTTGTCCCACTGCGGCAGTAAAGAGCCAAACCTGAGTAAGAGAGCTGGGTAAGGGGCAGGTTCCAGGACCACAGAGCCACAGAGAGGGTGAGACAGTGCTGTCCAGGGGGCTGAGCCTACACTCACTGTCTGCTTGCTGCTTGTGGATGGGACTGCCCAACCAAAGAAAACGGGAGACAGGGTCACAGGTGAGGCAGCCATTGGTACCTGGGCAAGGGCATCCTTCCTGACCCAGCTTGGCTCCCCTCCTCTTAGTAGGGAGCAGGTCGTTGCAGGGGGCTGGGTGGAGTACACTTTCAACTCCCCCCATGCCTCTGCCGCCTGGTGCAGGGGGTCGGGGGGGGGGGCTCAGCTGCAGTGCCCCCAGCACACTGCTGAAAGATGCGTATTCAACTGCAGCTCCCAGTCAGTCTTGGGGGGAAAGAAAGAAGCTTTGACGCTGCTCCTGGCACACATCAATGGTCCCTCTGTGGTCTCCTGGGGGCCAGCACTCCAGCTGTCTGTGGCATTCAGGGCGGAGTCACCCACACTCCTGACAGTGTCCTGCCCCCCCCCAAATAAATAGTTCTAGGGGAGCTGAGAAATATTTTACTAGACACTCAGCAGTTCAGTGACGTAGGCTTAATGGGAACTGAATAGAAACAGATCTCCTGAACATAGGGGGAAATTCTAGTAACGGCCTGATGTGTGTGATTTTGCCTCATAAGTAAATTGGAGCATCCCTTTGGAAGTTATTAATGGTCTAGATTCAGGGGGATGATCTATCGGATAATTGAAGAAAGGTATTTCTAGATAGAATACAGTGCCATCATTACAATTTATAAATGTGGGGAGGCCACGGGTTAGTCACACAGCAGAAGGGAGAGCCAGATCAACATTGACTTGTCTATCTATCCAAGGGTGGTGGCTGTGCTGGGGGCTGGTCTGGGGGACACAGGCTGCGTGCTGGGCCTTGTGCATGCTCTGGACAGCAGCCAGCCCTCTCCCTTGGGCCTGGCATTGCCAGCAGCCCTCAGTGCTGTTGACCACCTAATGCATTCATCCGCCTTTGCAGCCCTCAGCTCCCTGCCTTCTGGATTCATCCCTCCCACAGCTCCCCTTCCTCCCCCCTCTGACTGATCTGCTCCAGCCCCCTGTCTGTCCAGTGTCACACTGACCCCGCCTTGTGTTTCCCTAGAAAATTAAAGAGATAACCTACATGCACTCAGAAGGCATCCTGGCGGGGGAGCTGAAGCACGGACCCTTGGCACTGATTGACAAGCAGATGCCCGTCATCATGGTCATCATGAAGGACCCTTGCTTTGCCAAATGCCAGAATGCCCTGCAGCAGGTCACAGCCCGCCAGGTGAGAGCTCTCAGCTGGGCCAGGGTCCCCTTCTCTCCTGTCCTCTCCCACACAAGCCCACCTCACCCACTGTCGGCCAGCACTGGTTATGAGCAGCCCTACCACTGAGCAGGTGTGATCACGTGCTCTCTCCTAGGCCCCCTCCTGAGGGGCACACACATTCAGAAATGACTGGCCAGCCTGTGGCCACGTGCACAATGGCTCTTCAGTGAGACCTTGTGACCCAGACTGCCCCGAGCTGCCCCAGATTCCAGGCGTGGAGCTGCCCTGAGATGGGAGTGCAAAGCCCCCACAGATCCATCCTGGGAGGGCTCATGAAGTTATAGGGAGGTGAAGTCCAACAATGCCCTTGAGCCAGTGGCCGCCATGCCTGGCTCGGCACAGTGGCCAGAGAGAAGGTATAAAACACAAATCACTTCACTGCCTTGCTTGAAACCTCCCGGTGGCTTCCCATAAAACAAGAGTGACCACAAGCCGGCATTATGTGGCCCCTTCCTTCTGTGTCCCAAGCTGAAGGAGCCCAGCTGATTTCTGCCTCTGAACCTCTGCTCTGGCTATTCCCTCTGCCCTGAATGTGCTTCCCACCTCTTTCAGAGAATTGGCCTGTGGTTATTCACATCTTAGTCCAAACATCCCCTTTTAAGAGAGGGCTTCCCAGACCTCACCAGTGTCTCCCAATCACATTACCATGTTTTATTGCCTTTCTGGCATTCATCTGGAATTCATCGTTACTCATTGGTTGGCTTGTTTACATTTTTATTTTCTACCACTCAGCTATGAGTCCCCTCAGAGTGAGGAGTGGGCATGCCCTGCCCTTGGCAAGGCACATGGAAGCCACTCAACAAACGGGTGCTGGATGAATGGCTCAGAATGGCAGTCATCCTACCACGGAAGGGAGAGGAACTCACCAAACAGCATCAAACACCTTGCCCCTCACACTGGTCGTGCACATCACCTCACACATAATTCCACAAAAGCAAAAGAGGACTGTTATCCCCTCAATAAGATTGACCTCAGAAACTGCTGGTATGTGAGGGGTTGCTGCTTTCAGAGACCACCTGCCCATTGTGATCCTATTTTCCTGCTCTAGGGTCGGCCGATCATACTGTGCTCCAGGGACGACACTGAGAGTTCCAAGTTTGCGTATAAAACGATCGAGCTGCCCCACACAGTGGACTGCCTCCAGGGTATCCTGAGTGTGATTCCGCTGCAGCTCCTGTCCTTCCACCTGGCTGTTCTCCGAGGATATGACGTATGTCTAAAATCACACCGAATCCCCCAGAGGGGAAAAGCATAACCCCAGAGTCTGACTCTTTTCTTTTTTTTTTTTTTTTAAGTTTATTTACTTATTTTGAGAGAGGGACAGGGGATCCCAAACTGGCTCCACAAAGCCCGACATGGGGCTGTGAGATCCTGACCTGAGCCAAAATCAACAGTCAGACCCTTAACCACCTGAGCCACCCAGGCGCTCCTGATTTTGTTCTTAAATGCTTATTTGGTGTAAATATTCATAGGAAAGGTAATTTCATTTAAAAGAACTCTGTTTTTAAAGTAACTTCTATCCCTTGAAAACAATTTGGGACTGCAAGATTACGAAGACCATATCATTAAACTCATCACTCAGCGAGGCAATGTTAATTAGCAAATTTAATCATTTATTCCAGTATTTTCCTTGTGCATGTGGATTTTTTAACATTTTTGACAGTATATCAAGGATGACATTTTACACTTTCCTTTTGAGTGTATTTACAAGTATTTTCTTACATCTTGAATTTCATGTAAGCAACATTTAATCATTGCACAATATCTCAACATAGTCTTATAACATGGATTATAACAATGACTTAGCCGGTCTTCTATTATTTAAACTGTTGCTGATTTGGGAGAATATCTGCATAAATCACAATTGCAGTGAACATCTTTGCATGTACATCTTCCTCCCACATTTAAGATATCTCCTCAGTCTAGCAAATGATTCAACATTTTGAGACTCCTTTTTTAATTTTTTTTTTTAATGTTTCTTTTTGAAAGAGAGAAAGAGAGAGTGCAATCCAGGGAGGGGCAGGGAGAGAGAGGGAGACATAGAATCTGAAGCAGGCTCCGGGCTCTGAGCTGTCAGCACAGAGCCCAACGCAGGGCTCGAACTCACAGACCATGAGATCATGACCTGAGCCGAAGTCAGATGCTTAACCGACTGAGCCACCCAGGTGCCCCTTGAGACTCCAAACATATATCATCAATTTATGTTCCAGAAAAGAACCACCAACAAGTATGGAAGAACCTACAATTCACTGCATATAGAAATAGTTTTATTACAATTGTATTTTGAGAAGCTTTTGAAGATACATAACCTTACAGAAAACAATGTAACAAGTACCTGGTGGTATACAAATCCAGAACTGCCACGGCTAACATTTTGTCCTATTTGTTTCTCCTTTTTTTTTTTTTAACGTTTATTTATTTTTGAGACAGAGAGAGGCAGAGCATGAACGGGGGAGGGTCAGAGAGAGAGGGAGACACAGAATCGGAAGCAGGCTCCAGGCTCTGAGCCATCAGCCCAGAGCCCAACGCGGGGCTCGAACTCACAGACCGCGAGATCGTGACCTGAGCTGAAGTCGGACGCTTAACCTACTGCGCCACCCAGGCACCCCTGTTTCTCTTTTAAAAACAAGAGCCAAATAAGGGTGCCTGGGTGGCTCAGTCAGTTAAGCATCCCACTTCGGCTCAGGTCATGATCTCACGGTTCATGGGTTTGAGCCCCGCGTCAGGCTCTGTGCTGACAGCTCAGAGCCTGGAGCCTGCTTCGGATTCTGTGTCTCCCTTTCTTTCTGCCCCTCCCTCACTCGTGTTCTTTCTCTCTCTCTGTCTCTCTGTCTCTCTCTGTCTCTCAAAATGAAATAAACATTAAAAAAATTAAAATTAAAATAACTAAGCAATATAAGACACTGCAGATAAAGTTGAAGCCTACCATATCAACCATCTCCCATCACATTTTCCTCTCAGCCTCCACCCTGAACTAATGAGCCTCATGGATTTAGTGTGTCTCCTTCCAAGAAACGTGAACAGGACAAGCTGAGTTAGCATTTTAATAGCATGCATCATATCCTTTTAATAGGGTTAACACAGACAGCATGACAAATGTCAGGTGCACAATAAATGTATATTGAATGAACTAAACCTTCTATAGTTGAGTGAAGTTCCTGGAGTAAGGAATGCTTCCAAGATGCAGGTCTCCAGGGGCTCATGGTCAAAGGTGACCGGGAACACCCATCACCTCGTCTTCAAGTACCCCGATAATAGGCTTTATAATACAGCAGGTTGCTGGGATCTGTGGGCTCCTGAGCAGCTCCTTTCTATGTATCGTTGCAGGTCGACTTCCCCAGAAATCTGGCCAAGTCTGTAACAGTGGAATAGAGAACAAGAGCCCGAGAAGGCCATCACCACCTGCAGTGTGGTTCAAGGCCTGTCCCGGTGACATCAAGTGAGAAGAACAGCAGGCGTTCTGTGTGTTCCAAGTAGATCCCAGTAGAACTTGACAAGCTTTCACGTGCCTTGTACCCAAGTGCTTTGCTCACAGCAGATACTGTTTCTCTGTGTCCTGAAGTCGCCAGAGGAGAAGGGAATCATTGTTTACACATGGGGATCAGAGCGGACTTTTCCACTACTGTGCAATAGAGACACAGCTCTCTTCAGAGTAACTGTGAACCTTTTTGTAACCAACGCTAGTTAGTTTTGAAAGACAAAATATTTATAATGATGATTGTATAGCTTTTAAGTTATTTTTCTAGTATGTGGCTTTCTGTAGCCAATGTAATGCCCAGACCATGCACCCCAGCCTCCTGGCAGAGGGCATTCATCTCAGATTTGAGCACAAGGCATTGCCTCCCTGCACTCCTCTCTCCTCTCCTGCCCTCTCTTGGCTGCCCCTGAATCCCAGTCCCCTGATGTCAGGGAAGCCCTCCCACCATTTCCCTGTGCCTCCTGTAAATCCTTTCAAAATCTCAATGTCCTTTGACAGATTCTTCTCCTATAAATCCCTCTGACTCTCCAACTTCTGTTAAATTTGATCATGGCTCTTTTTAAGCCCAGGCAGCATTTTTGGTCCCTGCTTCTACCTATAGTAAAACAGCTTGAAATATCCCATGCAAGAAAGTAGTTTTCAAGTGGGCTATCTTGCCCTCTGTTTAAAAGCGTGCACAATCAAGATACTATGCAATTTTAAGACAATAAAGACAGTACAATTCTTTTTTGGCTTGTGCATTTGGATTTTTGTTATTCTCATTCTTTTTGTGTACTTGGATTGTGAGGGCTTCTCAAAACAGGAACTCAGCAGTGTCTGGTGGGAGTGAGCCCCATTTCTTTCTTTCTTTCTTTCTTTCTTTCTTTCTTTCTTTCTTTTGAAGTTTATTTATTTTGAGAAAAAGAGAAAGCATGAGTAGGGGAGGGGCAGAGAGAGAGGAGAGAGAGAGAATCTCAAGCAGGCTCTGCACTGTCAGTGCAGAGCCTGATTTAGGGCTCGAACCCACGAACCATGAGACCACAACCTGGGCCAAAGTCAGACACTTAAACCACTCAGCCACCCAGGCACCCCAAGCCCTGTTTCTTGGTAGCCCATGGTGCTGTGCCCACACTTGTGACCTGTGTCCTTCTTGTATGAAAATGAAGACTGTTTATTTTACACGATGAAACAAAATGCAGGATGTTTGAGACTCTTCATTGAGTCCACTGAAGAGCTGTTGAAGGGGGCTGGACCACGTGATGCTCTTTCAGATGGCTGCCCAGAACCTGAAAGCATCGTGCAGGCATGTGAAACTCTCTAATGTATACTTTTTTATTTCCATGAGTCTATCTTGGTCACCGATTTTATGGATATAATCAGGCAGGAAGATCAGAAGCTAGAGATAGGGTTCTGAAGGCTTGTGGGGTCTGACTTTAGGCTCCCAATGAAAGTGGCTCTCCCAGAGGCTTGTCCTCATGACCACTATGTCCTCATGACCACTGGTCGGTTTGAGTAGCTCTAGTATAGCATCAGACCTTTGTTCAGAATTATCTGTGGGCTACTCATTAACTTTTCCATCCTCTTCTATGCTGTCCCCTGTATCACAAGACTTGGAAACCTGGGAATTACATTTCCAGGTTAAATTCCACCAGTGAGAAGCATCATGGAAGATTTGGAAGATACTTTAGAAGTCATATTGTTTTTGAGAAATCATGTTGTTTATTTCTCCCCTGGCAGAAGCAGACAGAAGTGTGGCTTCAGCAGATAGGAGGTCCCGCCATGGCCCTTAGCCCCAAAGCACTCGCCATGGCAATATTGCCTAAAATTCACCTACCCCACAGTGGGGGCCACCAGCAGAGGCTTCCTGCAACTACAGCAGCATCCTGCTTTTAAAAAAAATTTTTTTTGAATGTTTATTTATTCTTGAGAGACAGAGACAGAGCAGAGCAGGGGAGGGGCAGAGAGAGAAGGAGAATCTGTAGAACAGAATCTGAAGAACAGAATCTGAAGCAGGCTCCAGGCTCTGAGCTGTCAGCACAGAGCCTGACGTGGGGCTCGAACCCACGAATCATGAGATCATGACCTCAGGGGAAGTTGAATGCTTAACCGACTAAGCCACCCAGGCACCCCCAGAATCCCGCTTCTGAAGAGCTGGCAGGAGCCCAGGAGCCACAGCGGCACTCTCCAACCCACATCCACCAGCCCTTCCCACAGATTAACCAGGGCATAAGTCCCGCTGGAAATACTGGTGCTGGTTTCTGCCTTTTTAACCAGACCGTGGTCATTACAATTTCAGAGGTTAGGAGACTTTACGAACTAGCCAGAACATTTTTATCTGGACAAGACCTAGAGAGACGCATTTCATTTTTACACCCAAGAGGCAATGACCATTCTGACTTTTGTACAAATCAGTCTCTTGCTTTTCATTATAGTTCTACCTGTGTATCTCTCCCCAAGTCATATACCACCTAGTCTCAAAAACAGAAGGCAAGCACACACGAGCTGTGCAAGGAGAGGGCAGCACTGCCCCCGCTGGACAGAAGCTCCAGGAGTGGGGTGAGGAGAGCACTTTCCCGGGTCCAGGGGCTGACTTCCCCTTCACTGGGAGCTAACAAGGCCCCTTCTGGGGAAGTGGCAAGCAAGCTCACAAGTGACTCTGGGGAAACACAGGGCTCTCCACAGCTGGGCGCCTGGCAAGGCTGAGGTGTGCACCGGGTACCCAACAGAGGTACGGTCAGAAGGAATGGGCTGCCCTGTACTTTCCACTTCCGAGCCCGCCATGGCCCTCTGGCTCTCAGGGAAAAGCTGAGAACTTCTGGGAGTGATATGTGTGTCTTAAGCAGAGCATGAGGGGAGATACCCTCAGCAGCACACGGTCACAACAAGCCAAGTCCTGGTGAGAATCTGGGCCAAGCTCTCCTGGGTGATCTGTCCTTGGGTTAGGAGAATGGTCCAATGGAAGTGGTGGGGGGAGTCTTGGTGATGACCAGCTGTCTGCCTCTCAGGTCACACTGAGGCAGGACAGCTCAGCTGCCCTCCACATCTGGAGCAGAGCTGCTGTACCGGGATCATTCCATCATCCTCTGAGGGATTCCCTTGTCCTCTTCCCATATCTCATGTCTTCCTTCTTAGTTTCCTTTTTTCATTTTGGTGAAATACATCCTTCTCGAGTAAAGGAGCCTGGGAGGTAAACTTTTGAGACCTTGAGAAATAAATGGCATTATTCCTCACACGTGACTGGGGGTTTAGTTACACATAGAATTCTAGGTCACCAAAAAAATGTTTTCTTCAGAATTGTAAACGTGATGCTCTGTTATCTTGTTCACAGTTTAAGAACTTCAAAGTCACTCTGATACAGGGGACCTTTTTATTTCCTTCTTTGTCTCCCCCTGTGTTCTGAAATATCACAGCAAGGGGTCTTGGGTATCTTCTTACTTAGTGTTGACTTCAGGCTTGTACCTCCTGCCCCTCCATTCTGGGAACTTTCCTTGAATTACTTTTTGGTGGATTTCTTTCTGTGTGTCTGGCCTCCCTTATTTCAGAGGTTGGAGCTACTAGACTAGCCTCTCCTTTCTTATGTTTTTTATTGGGCATCTTATCTTTTTTGCTTGTACTAAATAGGAGATTTAATTTATTCTCCCAACCTGTTTACTACTAAGAGTTTTCATTTCTGCCAATACAATTTAATTTCCAAAAGTTCTTTTATTTATTTATTTTTTGCTTTGGACATATATACTTTTAATACATATTTTTAAAATTAACTACAGCCCATACTTTATTCATATTTCTTAGTTTTTATCTAATGTTCTTTTTCTGCTGCCCTTTTCCTGACATCACATGACACGTCTCCTTAGGCTTCTCTTGGCTGTGACTGTTTCTCAGATTTTCCTTTTTTTGTATGATCTTGACATTTTTGTCAAATACCAGTTGTTGGGTATTTTCGAGAATATTCCTCAATTGGGCTTCTCTGATGCTTTTTGCATGGTTAGACTGGGGTAATGTGTTTCAGGAAGGAAGCCCCAGGAGTAAAGTGCCATTCTCATTACTTCATAATGCAGAGGGGGCACGTGCTATCAACATGTCTTGTCACTGTTATGTCAGTTTGGTCACCTACCTCAGGTAGTGATTGTCACGTACTCTAATTTTTCTCCCTTTCCATACTGAACTCTTTGGAAGGAAGTTATTATACCCGCCCCACACTTAAAACAGTGGGGCGATGTGGCGCCCGGGTGGCTCAGTCAGTTAACCATCTGACACTTGATTTCAGCTGGGGTCACGATCTCACGGTCCATAAGTTTGAGCCCTGCGTCAGGCTCTGCACTGACAGTGTGGAGCTTGCTTGGGATTCTCTCTCTCCCTCTGCCCCTTCCTCACTTGTGCTGTCTTGATAAAGATAGATGATTGATAGATAGATAGATAGATGATAGAAGTTATGCATCACTTCCTTGAGAGGGGATTATTTACATAAATTATTTGGGGTTCAGTACAGGTTTGTTCTCCCCCATTTATTTTTTCATTTATTAAATCATTTATATCCATTAGTATAGGCTCATGGACATGTATTTTATGCTGGGTTATAATACAATACTGTTATTTCGTTTATTGCTCAGATTGTCCCAGCTGTGGCCATTGGGAGCTCTTTCTGTTGGCTCTTGTGTCCCTTCGACATACCCCTCCATGTGTCTGTGTGTGTGTGTGTGTGTGTGTCCGTGTGTGTACTTCGTAAGCACTTCCTTACTTTTTTTTTTTTTAATTTTTAACATTTATTTATTTTTGAGAGACAGAAGGAGACAGAGCATGAGCGGGGAGGGGCAGAGAGAGAGAAGGAGACACAGAATCTGAAGCCGGCTGCGGGCTCTGAGCAAGCTGTCAGCACAGAGCGTGATGCGGGGCTCAAACCCACAAACTGTGAGATCATGACCTGAGCCGATGTCGGATGCTCAACCGACTGAGCCACCCAGGTGCCCCTTCCTTACTTTCCTGTACCACAAGATGCTCCAGACTCATCTTGTACATCTCCTGCCCCAGCCTGAGAATCAGCTACTGTTGATTTAGGACCCCTGGTTTCTTCTGTTGGAGAATGGCATTAGAAAACAGTTCCTGGGTTCTGGGTGTGCTTTGGCTGCTGCGGTGTCATTGCTTCTAGGCCATCTCAGCTGAGAGAGTAAGGACATATAGGCATGCTAAATATGTTTTTGATGACTTCAAGGATGTGATACTTTTTCATTCTGTCTGAAGCCGGCAATATATTATTCCTTTCAGAATTTCCTTTTTCACATAGTCTCTGTTTCTTTCAAGATAGTTTTGTTTGGTTATCTTCGTTGGTTTCTGTTTTGACTTTGCCACATGACCTTGGGCTGTCCAGGCAGATTCAAGGTGGTGGGAAATTTCTTGAGTACATGGTGGGGCTTGTTGATGCCGAGATCAACTGCTGGGCAATGTGGAAGGTTTGTTTTATGTTTTAGGGCTGGTCAGACTTCTGAGAAGAGTTTTCCAATCCCTTGCTGTCAAGGGACTGCTGGTGCTCTGGGAGATGCCTGGAAAAAGGGGACGAGATCTAGTCTATTCAGCATTCAGTTATATGGCACCCAAGCCCCCTTTCTTATCCCCTGGCTTCTGCCTTTCCCCGCTGTTTCTGCCCTTTCTCCTGCCATGTCTTCACATGGGTCTGACTGCCCAGCCCACAGATGCAAGCCCTGCCCGAGGAGCCCATCAGACTCCTCTTCTGGGGATTTTCAAACTTAATGTGGCACAGAGGCCTGCCCCTCCTTGGGTGGTGAAAGAGTAGCAGCTGACATGGGGAGGAGGAAGCTGACCCAGAGGAGAAAGGAATGTGATGAAGCGTTTGCCCATAGCTCCCAAGGCTCTGACCAGGTTCCTAGGCTGTGGTCCCAGGGCCGGCTCCACCCATTGATCTCCCAGGTGCAACAATGCAGGAACCTCCCAATAGTTGTCCCCATTGGGTTCAGTGCGGCTTGGCTTTCTCGAACACACAACCTGAACAGTCTTGGCTTGCATCCCCTGGCACATCGGGTCCTGGTCAGGGGTGGGGAGGAGGTGGGGAGGGAATGGGGAAGTGGGAGGAGAGCAGTCAAGGTTGGGAGAGGGGGGAGCAGAGGAGGCCAGCATGAAGACACTCATTGTCCCTGTGTGCAGTCTATTCCCCGAGCTTGGTACTTCTCTCCCTGAGACCTCACAGCAGCCCCATCAGGTGGGGGTCACCACCCATGCCCACTCCCCATGGAACTGAGCCTCAGAGAAGCAACCTCCTGCCCACAAGAGCACAACAAAGTGGAAAGCCCAGTCGGAACCCAGTCAAGGCAAGTCAAGAGTGGATGATGAGATTGAGCCAAAGAAACCTGTCAGCACTGTGACCCCTGGGCCAGCCTCAGGCCAGGGAGTGGAGCTTGAGCTCTTCTTCCTTCCCTCCTGTGTTCTCTTCTCCCCTGTGGGGCAGGGAAGTGGATAGTGTGTGCCAGATGGGTGGTATCAGCTGTGCCATCAAGGAACCAAGTGCAAAGCAGGGAAGGGAGGAGCAGGGAGCAGTGAGGTCTCAGGAAAAAGGAATGGCCAGTGGCCTTCATCTCAGAGGGCACATAGCCAGAGCTGCAAGGCTAAAGGTGACAGGAAAGGGGGAGGTGATAGAAAGCAGGTGGGCAGCTGGGATGCACATTCAATAAGTCCTTCCTCTCCACAGGTGGGTGAGCAGGCCAAGGCCAGAGGTCCCCACCCCAAAAATCAAGTCAGGAACCTCCCTGACTCCTCCTCCTGACTCACCCCTACATCCTACCTCTTGGATGGACAATTCTGCCTCTTTTTTTTTTTTTTTAATGTTTATTTATTTTTGAGAGAGAGAGAGAGAGAGCATGAGCAGGGGAGGCACAGAGGGCAAGGGAGACACAGAATCCAAAGCAGGATCCAGGCTCTGAGCTGGCAGCATGAAGCCCAATGCGGGGCTCGAACTCATGAACTGTGAGATCATGACCTGAGCCGAAGTCAGATGCTTAACCAACTGAGCCACCCAGGCGCCCCAGGACAATTCTGTCTTTTAAATGGACATCTTTTCCTTACATCAAGTTTTTTAGTATAAATTACATATGAAAAGTCACCTCCTTTTAGGTGCTCAGTTCTGAAATTTGATAAACATATAGTGATATGACCACTGCCATAATTAAAATAGAGTATACCCATCATCTCAAAGTATTCCTTCCTGGCCCCTGGTTATCATCCCCCACTTCCTCCACTTGACTTTGGCAACCACTGATCTGATTTTGCTTTTTCCAGAATGTCCTGTAAACAGAATCATAGAGGATGTAGCCTTGTTTGGCTTCTTTCACTTAGCATGACTTTTTTTTTAATGTCTATTTATTTTTGAGAGAGAGCAAAAGCAGAGGAGGGACAGAGAGAGAGGGGGTCAGAGGATCCGAAGTGGGCTCTGTGGTGAAAGCGGAGAGCCTGATGCAGGGCTCGAACTCATGAACCGTGAGGTCGTGACCTGAGTGGAAGTCAGACACTTAACTGACTGAGCCACCCAAAGGCCAAGCATGATGTTTTTGTATCTATCTATGTTGTGCATTTGTCAGTCAGTCCTTTTTGGTGCCAGGTAATATCCCACTGTATGGATGTACCTCAGTTTATTTACCCATCTGCTGGATTATCTACAGACATAGGCTGTTTCTAGTTTTTGACGGTTTTGAATAAAGTTGCCATAAACATTTACGTACAGCTCTTTGTGTGGACGTGTCTTTATTTTTCTCAGTTCCATATCCAGGAATAGGATTGCTGGGTGATACGACAGGTGTATGTTTAATGTTACCGGAAATTGCCAAACTGTCTTCCAAAGTGGACAAGCCATTTTGTTTTTCCGCCAGCGGTGGATGAGGGTTCTGACTGCTCCACATCAGTCATCACCACTTGATATTGTCCGTCTTTTTTATCACAACGGGTGTGTAGTGCTAGCTCACTGTGACTTTAATTTTCATTTCCCTCAAGTCTTGAAGCAGTTTTAAAATCAGTTCTCTCCTTACACCTGGCCCCAGGCCAGGCCTCACCTTCTCCTACACAGGCCTTTGCAACAGCTCCCTAACTGGTCTTGTGAATATAAGCCCCTCATCCTAGAAACTTCATGTGCTCTAGTGATCCTTCCAAAATAAATACCTAATCGCATCATTCACTTCCTTTCTTAACACCCCTCAGCAGCTGCCCTTGACCTCCAGAGATGGAGCCCCTACCCTGCAATGCCTCAAGGGCCAGCAGGTAAGGGATGGTGAAGTCATGGCCAGAGTGGGGTGACAGGGAGTGGTAGGGGATGTGGTGATGTAAGGGCCTCCCCTAAAGGGGCAGCTGCCACTCAGCTCCAGCTGACCACTACCTTCTGGGAATGCAGACCCCATGTTGTCAGAGCTTCTAACTATTCAAGAGAAACTGCCAGTTGAGATTTTTCAAGTGAAAGCTCCCAATTTTCAAATGTTGTCAACTAATAAAAAAAAAAAAAAGCCACACTGGGCTAAACAAGCATATCAGTGACTTGAAGCGAGTCCATGGGACTGTGGTCAGCAGTACCCATCCACCTCAAGGCCATATTTCCCCATCGCCAACAAGACCAGGTGACCCTTGGTTTCCTGAACACAGCATGCAGGTCCTGACTTCTGAATCTTTGGGTCCCAGTGCCCTTTCTGCCTAAACCATTGGCCTAACACATTCTTGCTAGCCTTATAGCCTCGGCTCAGGCTTCCTCTTATCCAGAGGTCTTCCTCAACTATTCCTCTCCAGCTAGCAGGCTAGGTCAGCTGTCAGTCAGGCTCATGTGTATACCTCCCCACCCCCTACATGCCCCCGCTTCTCATCTCCCTTGGTCTCCACCAAAATTCTGTGCACTCTTCAAAGCATGGACTAGACCCTTCCCTACCTTGTCACCTCAGCTTTGTGTCTGTAAGTGTTCGCTGTTATTTCATAAACCAGAAAAGGCAGAATCCTTTTAGAAAACTCAGCACGAAATATGTATAGGTGTGTATGTGTGCGCAGTGATTTTTGGTACTCACTTTTCATGGGATGAGTGTTGTAAACTTGACTGGAGAGTGCAGGAATGGGTGCCCCTTCCTAATCCAAGGGGAAGCACCCACTAGTGCCCCTTAGTGAAGCCACAGCTCTGACAGCCAGGCTTTACTAGCCTCCCATAATCCTTGATGATGGCAATTTTTGGCTCCCTGTTTTCTCCTGTGCACCTGGAGCAGGTGGCAGATGAGGCTGATGTGAGGACCAGTGTGGGCAGGAACCCACCAGGGGGCCCTCCTCAACGCAGATCACATTCAGGAGCTACAATTTCAGGCAAGGATGGGCCATACTCAATTTTAGAAAACTCCCTCTGGTGGCCAAGGTAGGGGGTGGCCTAACGAAGGACACCATGCCTGGATCCCTTCCTTTACCCTCCTCCTCTGAGGCCCTGGTGCCCTCAGCTGGCCCTGCATCACTGGCTTTCCATCCTCCCCAAATTCTGCCACCATCCTCCAGGCCTCCCAGCCCCTTGACCTCCCCCTCGTTAGGATCCTGCTCCTTCCTCCCAATTTGGCCCCTGCCCTGATCACCCGCTGGGCTCTGGCATGCTGGGCTCCTGCATCCTGCGAAAGCTGCTCCTCCTCCACAGTCCCCCCTCTCCCTGTCCTCAAAGTGTGCACCTCCCCCCACCCTATCCACGGACCTCTGATCTTTTTTCAGTGTGTCCAGACTCCCTCCCTCCCTTCCAGCTTTGCCTATTTAAACGCAAATCTGGCAACACGAAATATCCTGGCCTCTCCCATCGTTTCATATGACCCCAGGCCTGCTGGAACCCGACCGAGGGGCCAGAGGGCTGCAGGAGTTGGCTCATAAGAAGGTCGGTGTCAAGGGACCCCAGGACCTAGGGGACCCTCAGCACTGCACTCCCTTCTCCCCATTTACGACCTTGCCTTTCTCTGAGCCAGAGGTTTGACCCCTGGCCCGAATACGCCAGGCTTTCCCCTCCTCCCTTCTGTCACGGACCCGCCGGGGGCACTAGTCTGCACGTGGCCATCTCCTCGCACTCCGCCCTCCCCACCACCCGATTTCTAGCCGTTAGCAAGCCGCAGAGTCCAAGACCCCTGCCTCTCCTTCCCGCTCCCCCACCGCGTCGGTCTCCTCGTCCTTCCAGGGGCCACACCGTGCCGGGTTCCTGGACGCCGGATGCCAGCACCCCGGTCTCCCCTCGTCCTCGCCCGGGACTCTCCCCCAGACGGGCCGGCCCGTTCCCCTACAGGCCGCCTCGCCGCTGCCACCTTGCACCTGCAGCCCAGAGGGCCCGGCTCTCCTGCCGCCGGTCGGCCCTCTCCACCGCTTCCTGGCTCCGCGTCAGGCCTCTGCTTCGAGGTCCCTGTGGGGGGATGGAGGATCAGCGCGCGTACTGAGCCGGACCTGCGTCCCCAGCCCCGGGCGTGCTCCGCACAAGCCGGAGGAGCTGGGCGGCTGAGGGACACCGAGCCCCATCGAACCCTGCACGGTTATCCCGGCTCCGCCCACCCCGCCCGTCACGACCCGCCCCCTGGCGCGATTGGCCGCGCCTGCCCAGCTCTCCGGACGCTGATTGGTCGGCGCGAAGGTCGTTCAGGCCGGGCGCCGCGGCGGCGGTGGCGGCGGCGGAGGAGGAGAAGGGAGTCGGACCGGAAGGGTCGAAGCGCCCCGGCGCCCCTCACACCCACTGCAGCGGCGGCGGCGGGGCGGAGCGGAGCGGGGCGGGGCGGCCGGCCGAGCCCGGGGCAACG